TCAGCAGTATCAGCATCAAGAGCCCCTTCACCAACAACCTCAGCAGCTCCACCACCAACAGCAGCAACAGCAACAGCAGCAACAGCAACAGCAGCAACATCATCAGTCGATTTTTGTCCAGCAACAGCACCAGCATCAGCAACAGCTTCATCATCAGCAACACTCCTCACAGCGGCCGCAGCTCCAGCAGCTCCAGCCGCAACAACACCAACAACAAGCGTACCAGCAGCATCCGCACCAGCAGCAACATGACCAGCAACAGCGCCAGCCGCACAACATCCTCCAAGTTCAGGTTACCCAGCCGCTGACTCAGATTCCTCAAATTGCTCCGGTTCCGGTTCCCCAGCTACCCCATATTCCCCAGGTCCAGGTTCCCCAGATTCTCCAGCAGTCCCACCAGTCTCATCCAGCTCACCAGCCTCACCATGCCAACTTCAACCACTCCGGCGTGGTCCATTTTGACGACCTCGACAACCTCCTCCACGATCCTGCTGGCCAGTTCCCAATGCTTGAGCACCATGACATTCAAATCCCCGACTGGCTTGAGATCGAGTTGCCCATGGGCACGCATGCAGTGGATACTCCGGAAGGCCACACCACGTCCCGGTCGACCCCCTCTTCAGATACTCATCGTGGCTATTCTTTCCACTTCCTGTATGATTTCACCAGCAGGACTGGTCTCGTCAACTCGTTTGAATGCGGCACTTATGTCCAAAGGAGAGCGGTCGTAGATGCCTTCTATGCATCGTACGCCGAGCAACAAAAGAACCACCAACAGTTACAACAGATGCATCAGCATCAGCAACACCTCCAGCAACAGCAACAGATCCAAGGACAGCTTGAATTCCACCCAATGGTTCCGCAGCTGCAAAATCCCATGGGCCAGCCCCCTCTTTCGCCGGCTTCGTCTTCAGCTGTCTCTACTTCGGCCACGTCGAATGACTACGGCTATATGCCATGGACTCTCTGGTCGTCCTGGCTCAGCAATCCGATTATTATCAAGCTGCAAGAGATTGTGGTTTCGATAATGACTGTGATTAGACACAAAACGTCCAACAGTACTTTGGGTACTCTGACTTGGACTCCCGAGAAAGAGCAGGAGTGTCTTCAGTTCTTCTCGCCACAGAGATTTGCCAAGTTCATCGAACTGTACTGGTCATGTTGGCATCCAAATGTGAACTTTATGCATCGCCCTTCCTTCGATCCTACCAGCGCAAAGCCGGTTCTGCTGGCCGCCATGGCTTTAATAGGCAAGTAGCTTGCGTTTCTGCCATCGCGTCGTGGAGTCACCAAACTAACACTCACTAGGCGCCTCCGTCTCTCCGGATGAGCAAGACACCAAGGACGCGAAAGTGTGGTTCAACTGTGTCGAGGAAATGGTCTTTATCGATGACGACTTTTGCAGTGACACTGAGCCTGGTTCTCCGGCCGACGATGATGCCAATCCTGCCTCGGCTCTGCATTGCAAACGAAAGCTGCAAGCTTTGCAGGCTTCATACATCGTCTGTCTTTACCAGAATTGGGAAGGTTCAGACACTAGCAAGAGGAGAATTCGTCGCCATCGCTTCAGCACTGTGGTATCTGTGAGTAGCCTTGTACATTACGTTTGCGGGTATGGGGTGACACTAACCTTTGTATTTCATCGGCAGGTGGCGAGAGATATCGGAATTCCCATGGCGAAGCATCTCGAATATGGCAGGCAGCTCAAACACGAGTTTGACTGGCACGAGTACGTTGTGCGGGAAGAACTTATACGGTAAGCGCACCCGGCCCCTGGAATAATCAAAGAAGCGGGTAACTGACAAGTGGGCCTCACAGTACCTTCCTATGGGTGTTCCTTCTCGACACAGCCTTTGTCATCTTCAACAATCTCCCTCACCGTATGGTGATCAAGGAGATGAGGATGCACATGGCTAGTCCCGAAGCGGTCTTTCAAGCTCCGACGGCAGAGAAATGTCTGGAGGAGATCTACCGGTGGATGCCTTCGTCGAGTCCGATTTGCAACACTCTGCTCCGCGACGTGCTCGAAAACGTTATCGGTACCACCCTTGACGCAGATATGTTGCAGAGATTGGCCCAGCTTGGGCCACTCAATTTGTTTGTTGTTGTTTCCGGTAAGTTTCATTTGCCCTTTCTGGCTTCTCGCTTTTCTGGGGTTCCAACCACCCCTGAACATCGGCCTGACCGATGCTGACTGTGGGTTCCGCTCAGTTTTCCATTACATGATCTTCCAGCACCAGAACTTGTTCGGAGTAGAAGGCCAGCTAGTACCGATCCGCAACGGCCTAGATAACTGGATCACGATTTGGGAGTTATGGTTCGACAACTGGTCATCCACGCCGCCTCACTGCATGGCAGACAGCGAGAATCTGACACCCGAGAATATGTGGAAGAGGATCGGTTTCATCCGGTGTTCGGCCGAGTACTGGCTCCTTGGCAATCTCCTCACGGACCGTATCGCTCGCAAGACATCGGGAGGCGTTAGAGAGAACCAGGGCAAGGGGTCGTCCCCGGAGTGCTACCCCGACGATATGTCAGCAAGCGGCAGAGGCAAGTCGGCCGACCCAATTCTTATCAAGTACGACCAAACCAGCATGCGGCAGGTCAACGAGTTGATCAGCGACTTTAAGAAGATTCAGATTGACGAAAATGAATGAGAGAAGAGTAACGGGTTGAAGTATTTAGGAGGCAAGGAAGGGTTAACGACAAGAAGGATGATGGTTTTGGATATTTAGGACGGCGCAGCACTTTTGGGTTTATCAGGCATGCACGGCAAAGGGATACAGCGTTATCAGACACTTTAAGGAATCACCACTCAGTTTCCGAGGAGTAAGATCATGAGTTAGTGTCCACCGGCAGAGCTACAGTAGCCACCGAAAGATCTGACAAATTACCTTATCGATATTGTGGCCCGACCACTTTGGGCTCAGGAACTGAGGAAGCTGATGTCAGTGCCCGGTACTACGGTGAGTGTGGGTAGTAAAAGGCCAGATGGTGAGCGTGGCCGTCCTTTGATGGTGTCCTGACTTCTGCGGATTCCCACCCGCCCACAACAGAGTCCGCAAAGTCTGCATCCGAGAGCAGTTGAAAGTTGAAGCTATTCCGTCAGCCCCACTACACCATCCACATTCTGCTGCGGATCCGCTACACGTGGTTGGATCCCACCTCCATGTCCGCCAACCTGTTCGGAGCGGGCCATCCCATACCGCCGACACATGCATCCTTGTTCATCTTCCCCCTCCTTCTCCAAAAATCCCACTAGTACTCCGATGCCAAGTCGCTTTGGGGACTTGGAGAGCTTTGTTGGTCGGTGAAAGAGCATCAATGACGAAGGCAGTGTGTGAGGAGCAAATTCCAAGAAGGTCAGAGAGAGATTGACGAGATGTGCATTAACCTTCTGGACACGAGTGCTGGTGTTGACAACTGACTTGAAGACCTATTAATTCCCCCGAACTTTCCGCCCTGAATGTAAAAACTTTTTTGCCCCAAGGAATTTCCCTCAACCCAAACAACCACCGAGTCTCGTTGCCGGTTCTTGCTTTGGAACAACAAAATATGGCCGTCATCACAACATACCTGCCCATTGTGGTGGGTATTGCCCTCATCATCCGCCTGCTCATGGTAGGACGGAGGCCCAAGAACTATCCTCCTGGTCCCCCTACCATTCCCATCCTTGGTAACCTTCACTTGGTAAGTCGAATCCCAAAGACCTTTTTAAGGTGATATAGCTGACCACTGGCACTTGATAGATGCCAACCAAAGATGTTCATCTTCAGTTTGAAAAGTGGGCTCGCGAATATGGCCCCGTCTACAGTCTCATTCTCGGAACCAAGGTCATGGTCGTTCTCTCTGGTGACAGGGCCGTCAAGGACCTTCTCGACAAGAAGAGCAACATGTACTCGCACAGACAGGAGATGTACATTGGTCAGACGCTCTGCTCCGGTGACCTGCGCATTCTCATGATGGGCTACACCCCAAAGTGGCGTATGTGCCGCAAGCTCGCCCACGCTCTCCTCAACATCTCGTCCGCCAAGTCCTACGTCCCCTACCAGATGCTCGAGAACAAGCAGATGCTCTACGAGATGCTCCAAGCCCGACGATTTCCTCTACAACATCCGCCGCTATTCCAACGCCCTGACCACCACCATGGTTTACGGCTGGCGCACACCCACCTACAACGACGAGAAGATGCAGCAGCTCTTTGACGGCTTCTCCGAGTTCGCCGAGATCAACCAGACCGGCATGGCCGCCCTCATCGACTTCTTCCCCATCCTCCGCTACCTCCCCGACTTCCTCCTCCCCTCCCGCCAGAAGGCCAAGGAGCTGCACAAGAAGGAACTCGCTCTCTACAAGGGCCACTGGCTCAAGGCCAAGGAGGACACGCTCAAGGGCACCATCACACACTGCTTCTGCGAGGACCTCGTGCCCGTGCAAAAGAAGGAAGGATTCTCCGACGATCAAGCCGCCTACATCGCCGGCACCCTTCTGGAAGCCGGTTCCGACACCACCTCGTCCACTCTCTACGGTTTCGTCCAAGCCATGCTTTTGTATCCCGAAGTCCAGCGCAAGGCGCAGGAAGAAATCGACCGCGTCGTCGGCTCCGACCGCCTCCCCACCATGGACGACGAGCCCAACCTGCAGTACATCCGCGCCATCGTCAAGGAATCTCTCCGCTGGATGCCCACGACCATCATGGGCGCCGTTCCGCACGCTGTTACGCAAGACGACTACTACAACGGCTACCTGATCCCCGCCAGCGCTGGCGTCGTCAACAACGCCTGGGCCATCAACAACGACCCCGTCCGCGCCCCCGAGCCGCGCAAGTTCAAGCCCGAGCGCTACATGGGCGACAAGCTCTCGCTCGCCGATTCCGCCGCCAACCCCGACCCGTCCAAGCGCGACCAGTTCACCTTCGGTGCCGGCCGTCGCATCTGCCCCGGCATTCACATCGCCGAGCGCTCGCTCTTCCTCGGCGTCTCGCGCATGATCTGGGGTTTCAACATTGCGCCCAAGATCGGCGAGGACGGAAAGCCAATTATCCCCGATCAGGAGAAGCTTACCCAGGGATTCGTCTGCATGCCTGAGGAGTTCCCTGCTACGATCACGCCCCGTGACAACAAGAGGAAGAAGATCATCGAGGACGAGTGGTTTGCTGCCGAGAGGGAGTGTCTTGACCCTGAGACGAAGCAGTGGAAGCAGGGTATGAACTGGGTGCCTAAGGTTAAGGCTTAAGTTTTTGATGGAGTGGTTTTAGATTCGATTCTTGTTTATATTTGCCGGGCAAGGCAGTTTTATGTTACTTTCTACTTGCTTCCATGAGCGTGAGATTGAGCCAGAGAAGAGAGATGTTATGATGATATATGTAACTGATACCCACCACACGTACTGTTTTGGCTAGCAAGCGGGCAAGCGAGAGTGGGAAATGGTAGTTTTAGTGTACGAATAGGATATGATAAGATGGAGATACCAAAGACTTTTTGAACATCATGACTTTTTTTTGCAACTTTTTTCTGGTGATGAAATTGCTTTACGACGGAGTCCTCCCGGGCTATTCAAGTCAGAGGCTCGACAGCAATTTTTCATTCTTTTGATTCTTTTTAATTCATGACGACAAGTTCAAGACAATACAATATCTGGGACTTTGCATAGAAGCAGCAACATACTTACGTTGCAACTCCCTGATTTGTTCGTATGTTACCGAGTCCTCATCGTTCTTGGCTTCATACCTATTTCGTTTCCCTTTAGTCCGACAGGATCAAATGCATCTCGTCTCTGCTGTGATGATACCAATCAATGTTTCACCTATCACCACTCGCCTCACTTGGCACGATATCCAAAAAGGGAAAGCCGTCAACAAGAAGCAACACATCATATTCGACTGCATGGCGAAATATTCCTTTTGTCCTATTTTTTCCTCTTTCGGAGTATTATTTTACTGTATACCATCATGCATTCGATCCTGCAGCACTCCAACACGAAACACGAAAATAAAAGTCACTGATACACCGCAATCAGCACATTCAATATCACCTTTCAGCTGCATAACCTGCGGTTGAGTTACATCACACTGCACTGCACTGCACTCTGCAATCATATGCATCGCTTCGGTTCCGCGTACATACGATTCTGCACAAATGTCATGAATACACTCAAAAGGGAAAGGGTTGAAGTCAGCCAAGACATCATCAACCTCTCCAAAAATCCAAGATCCCCGCCGGGTGGGCATTATGTCGAGTCCTTCTTCCCCCGATTCACGTTCGGCTGACCACCAACCATCGTTTAGATGTCCATCGCCGGGTGCCGCCCACATACCGACCGAAACTCTCAATGCAATGCAAGAAACACAACACGCACGCTTGGCCGCGGCTCCGTACAACAGGTGCAAACGTGTAACGCGCCAACTCCACGCACCGGCGACGGAGCACAGGTCAACAGCGCTCAGCTTCGGCAAGTTGGATCGATCTCGGTAGCTGGAGATTGAACTCCTGTAGTCTGTAGTTTCATCCCACGAATGACCGCGGATGAATACACAACCGGGGGCGTCCGGGGCACCGACACTGCGGATCTGGGGCTCTGCTCTGGAGCCCTCTGGAGCCTCTGGAGCCTCTGGGTCTGCCGAGCACGCGGTTTGGGCAGGGAGCCGAGCGGGCGCATCTGGGGGAGGGAGTCTGGGATGAAGCCTGGAAGCTGGGTTTGGGGAGCTTGTTTGGTTTGAGATGGAGCAACCAAGCTAGCTACGGCACGGGATTCCTTACCGTGATGATCGGCGGGCGAGTGGGAAGGGCTTCTTGGAAGGACTCCGGAGGACAAGGGATCGGGGAAGAGAGGAGAGGGTGGAAAAGGTAAGGAAAGTTGATGTCTCATCTGACGCTACGTAAAGGGATGGGATGTCGAAAGTGAAGCTATTCGATCTTGGCTCTTCTTGGTCGGCTACTGCTGTGTGACGCTTGGCTATTTTTCTCCCCTGTTCCTCTCCCCATCCCCTTTTGCATTGTTTGGTTGTCAAATTGGTGATGATGATGATGATGATGATGATGATGGTCGTTACCGTGGTGGTGGTGGTGGTGGTGGTGGTGGTGGTGGTGGTGGTGATCATTAGGTGTTACCCGGACAAGGGTAACATGGGTCCTAAAAAGGTCCCCCCAAACTCCAGCTCCAAAAATGGATCAGGTACGTACCAATTATATCCCACTAGTACTCCGATTTTATGTACCATCCTTTTCAGAGTTCAGACCCTCTTTCTTTTCTCCAACCTCCAAATCCCTCCAATCTTGTCTATGACAATTGCCATTGACACCCGCGCAAGTTCACACCACAACAACCGAACAACGAACCCAGGCCCAAACAGCAATACTTACCGATGAGAAGCCAAGCGAGAATGAGCCCCACGGTTGTTTTTTTTTTGGTTTTTTTTTGGACTCCGACTTGCGAACCGGGCTTGCTGGTGTCAACTGCCGTTCTCCACACTCGAAGCGAAGCTATCCCAAGCTGCGTCCGCCGTGTCAAGCAGGTCCGCCCGGCCCCGTATCCGTTCCCAAAGCTGGATCCGGACGGCGGCGATCTTTTATTCTTGGTGTTTTCTTGGCTTTTTATTGAAAAAGCTTACCCACCAGTCTGCTCTGGCTCGCACTGGTTCTGTAGTCTCGGACCAGTCGATTTCACCGAGTGTATTTCCTGAGCTTTCACAGGACCAACATGACCGGCTGACTGGCTGGCTGGTCGGCCTTGGTCTGGACCAGTCGTTACGCGTTTCAGCATGGGACTGGAGGCTGGAGGGAGAACGGCGTATGTACTTGGACGACATACGTGGCTGGGCTCGCTGGGCTACACTACATAGGGGTTCAGCGAGGGAAAGGAGGGACACGAGGGGCACGAGGGGGGATGAAAGGTCATGGGAACACCATCTCTTTTATACGAAAGCGAAAAGGATGTGTGCCGGTTAGGTGTCTTTGATGACTCAAGTGAGGATCAACACCAAACGAAAAACTTGGTGATAGTGATCCAGAAAGGTGTGGAGGAGGTGGAATATCGTGCGTGCATTGTCAGTAAGCAATGTGCACGCTGCACAGTACGTCCGCAATGCTGCAACCAGTCGGCCAGCCAGCAGCAGCGGGAGCGGAAGCGGAAGCGGAAGCGGTGCATGATCATGATCTTCGCCGACGTCGTCTTGTTACAACAGCCAAGGCGGCGGCCAAAGTCGCTTGCCAGCGGACTGGATCCGAAAAAAATCTGATAGTCGGTGAACTCGGCGACAGTCCGCCGAGAGACAAGGACAAAAGATTGCCGCATGTTACCTTCGTCACCCACCCGGGGTGCCAAAACGGACCGATACTATGGTTGCATTCCGAACCTCGGTCGGCGCCAGGTGGATGGACGACCACGGACGCTGCTCGCCGCCGCCGGCTGGGCGATGCAGCGCAACGACGAAGCTATGTACCACGGCTTAACGGCTTCTTTACATGTCTCTCTGTCAGGAGTTTATCTGAAGCTTCCCGGTGAGTTGGCGAGGCTGATTACAGCCGGCAAGCTTTGTGCTGTGTAAATACTCGGCGGAGTTTTATTTTGGACCACTAACCGTACGGTGCAGTTCACAACTTCGGTTAGCAATCTCACATGCTCACATGCTATGCGCAGCGATGGAGACGACCGTTTCTCGGCTACGGAGAGGGATTGTCCAGCTGCATGATGCCAGCCGTTGCTCCATTGAACAGCATTGCATTTCGCTTTCCTTCCCAGCAGATTGGTTGAAAATGTGGAAACAAGAAAAAGCTGAGGCTGTCAAGAACGGCGCCCAGCTGCCAGGGACGGGGACGACGACGGGGAACGGCGGGGGTCTGGCCCCCCCTTGACCCGCAAATACAATATGGAGACAAGCCGGCTCCGGGCTGGTCGGTGGACCTCCGTGTTCTTTGGACTTGGGGATCCGGATCCTCTTCTCCTTCAAAGACTCCTCCAACTGAATCCAGGATACCCCTTTGGAGAACCGGTCATGATGGATTGGAGAACCCACTGGCAGAAAGTCACAAACGAGCACAAATTCTCTGCCCTTCTTGCTTTATCTGCTGGTTGAACGCGGCAGAGGAAATCAGAGCCATATATCCCACCACCACTCCGATACCTCCAAAATCCGGGGATGTTCTCCAAAAATGAGTGCCCCAGACAACGGACGCGGATGCAGAGAGGGGGAAGCTTGCACTGCATGCGGGCACCGGCTAGAGGAGACTGGGAACTGGGAAACGATTATTTCGGTTTCCCTTTTCCTTTACTGATCGGTTCTTCGCAGCTCGCCCCCAACTCCATCCCAGCCATCTCCAGCACCATTTCCATCACCAAACTGTCGGGAATGGGGGTGGGAGACAACTGGGGAATATGGGGATCCCGTCCCGGATCTTGCATTCCTCACTCCGCCGCCGCCGGCTTATTTTGAGGCTGCTGTTATAGTTGCCAGATTGGGAAGGATAGAACGCCATGCCAAACAAAAGCGCCAAAAAATTATTGGACATCGTGATCAAACTTTCCGTCTCTGAACAACTGGCTCTGCTCGATAATGACCACGTTCCCCCGCGACCCGCGACCCCTATTGTTCGGAACCCTGGGGTTCGTCCCCTCACCGTTCACCCCCTTTTTCTGTCGCATGGCATGTAAACACGGGAAAGTGAAGAATATCTTTCCTGTATGTTAGGCAACCCTGCGGTTTGTAGAATTTACTCTGTTCATGAAATTGTTTCCTCTCTGTTGGTTTTTTTTCTTTTTTTTTCTTTTTTTGCATTTGAGATACCCGGATCTTTCTTTCTACTGTGATAAAAACGTTTATCGATATAAACTCGTCCCCTTTTTTTTCCCCACAACAACAACAATAAACAACAACAACAATAAACAACAACAACACGCGGACCTCTTTCAAACACACAGACAGATACCCCAAACACAGCAAACACCACGGCAACAATGGCAACAACAACAACACCCCACACAACCACCGCCCTGGTCATTCCCGAACTCAACGGCCAGTTCGAGCTTCAAGAAGTCCAGCTCAACGACATCCAACCAGAAGAAGTCCTTGTCGAGATTGAGGCCACCGGAATCTGCCACACCGATCTCTCGTGCGCCATTGGCTTGTTGCCATGCAGACCTGGCGCGGTATTGGGCCATGAAGGTTCGCAGTTTTCTTTTCTTTTTCTCTACGTCATTGTCATCGTGAAGAAGAAGAAGAAGAAAAAGAAAGGAAATATCAGCATTACATCTACAACTTTGAACCCCCCCTTGTTTACCCCAACCGCTGAACCCCAGATTTCCCTTTTTTTTTCCTTCACCGCGAGGCCCTCTCCATGACATGACATGACATGAGATGACATGAGATGACATGATGGTTACCCCTCATTTTCATCCAAGCAAAAAACGCCAAAACACCATAACAACATGTGTAACAACTATCACGAACCTCATCGTCCCCAACCAGACCACTGTCTGAATGCACTCAAAAATGCTAACCTAACCCACTTGTCTTAAAAAGGCGCCGGCAAAGTCCTCTCAGTCGGCTCATCCGTCACCAACGTATCGCCAGGCGACTCGGTCCTCCTCTCCTTTTCCCACTGCGAGTCGTGCCCCCCTTGCCAATCCGGCCACCCAGCCTACTGCCACTCCTTCAACGTGCGCAACTTTTCCGGATGCCGCCCTTTGCCGACGCTTCCCGACGGTTCCGTCGACGTCTCCCAACTCAACGGCGTCGATCCCGCTGAAGACCCCGCGAGGACAACGTTCGTAACCAAAGACGGCGGCAAACCAATCTTTTCGCAATTCTTCGGCCAGTCCTCCTTTGCCCGCCACACTTTGGTCAACAAAAGTTCGTGCGTGAAGGTCCCAAAGGGGACGGATTTGGCTTTGTTCGCCCCAATGGGCTGCGGCATGCAAACCGGCGCCGGCGCCGTTCTCAACTCTTTGTCCGTGAAGCCCGGTAGCAGCATCGCCATCTTCGGCGTCGGCTCCGTGGGCATGGCGGCCGTCATGGCTGCCGCGCACATTGCTAAAGCCAAGACGATCATCGCTATTGACTTGCAGGAATCTCGTCTGGAACTGGCAAAGAAGTTGGGTGCTACGCATGGGGTTTTGGGGAATGTGGATGATTTGAAAGGAGAGATTAGGAGGATCTGCCCGCCAGTGGGAGTGGATTATGCTGTTGATTGCACGGGAAGTGTGGCGGTTATTCAGACGATGATTGATGTGCTGGGAACGAAAGGGCGGGCGGCCACCGTGGGGGCGCCGGGGTTTGGGAAGAGCGTGGCGGTGGATGTTATGGAGCATTTGACGTATGGGAAGGAGTATGTGGGGAGTTGTGAGGGGGATAGTTGTCCTAAGGAGGTAAGTTCTTTTTCTTTTTTGAGTGGCGATGGAGATGGTGGTGAATGAAGCGGGAGATGGGGATGGCGAAGGTGGTGGTGGTGGTGGTGCCGGTGGTGGTGGTGCTGGTGGATGAAGAGGACGGGAAAGGGTGAGGCCTGGACTGGCCTTGACTGGACAATGGAAAGGAAAACGGGGAAAGGGGAAAGAGGAAAGAGAGGTGTGGAGCAGATGGAGAGATGCTGAGAAGATGGCTCTTGAGAAATTTGCTGACAACGATTTCTGACAAAAACAGTTCGTCCCCTTCCTCATCGAGCAACACGCCAAGGGCAACTTCCCCATGGATCAGTTCGTCACTTTCTACGATGTCAAGGATTACAAGCAGGCTTTGGAGGATTCACACAAAGGAAAGGCTATCAAGGCTGTGCTGAAGTGGTAAGTAGGGTGCTGGGGCATGGGGCCTAAAGCCTGAAAGAAAGGGGGGGGGGGGAACTTGGATATGTCGGTTCAGTTAGTAAAGAGCTGGGTTATGAGGTCTGATAGGGAGAGAGGAAGAAAGGAGCCTTCAAGCTTCAAGGTTCTTCAGGGGGGAGGCATAATGAACTTTTTTTTTTTCGATTTCTTTCTTCTTTTCCCTTTTTTCTTCGGCATAACCGTGGTCATTGTTTTGTTCTGTGTATCGTGATTGTTGGTAACATTGGATTTGCAGGATTGCTGATATGTAACGTGATGTGATGTCAAATTCGCCGAACAATATCTATCCATTACCGTGGGAATATGGTCCATTCGACTAATATGTAAATCAAGAGGAGCACTGGTTGTCTATCTGCCTGTGGACAAAGCCACTTAGGGGCAGATATATCTGGTGTAGATAGTTCAAGCTGGTTGGTTGTTCCAACTAAGCCATCGAGTGTTCTCTCCCATCCTCATCTTCCAGATACACAGACTGGCTGACTGGCTAAGTATAAGTAGTATGTACTCCTTCCGGGACATAGACATAAACTTCAACCACTCCCTTCATCTTTGGACTTTATGTTAAGACGACCAACTGGATTGAGGTGGGGAGGACGGACGAAACCATGGACTGTCCTGGCGTGAACTATTGGTCTCCCGGCTGTTGCAAGATCTTGTCTTGCATCAGAGAGAAGTCCGCAGGCTTCTTGGCTCCAACAACAGAACACATGAAGTTAGTCTCCATGCTCGCATGATGATGTAGAAAAAGGACCACATTTAGAAATGGAAACCGGGCAGTTCAGATTGAAAGAAAGTTTCTGATATTGTTTCACTGCTCTTTCCCAATTCCCAAAATCTGTATCTCCGTCCATCTTCGTTATCATCCTGTTCGAGACAGGTCCGAGGCACGATAGAATCCATGAGCTTCCATGTATGTACCTACCTACCCTACCTAAGAACCATCACCAACCAGATCTGCCTGAGTCTTCATCCCCTCCCCGTTTCCCCTGAGGCACAACCTAATGGATCCCATCCTGCGAGAGTAACGTACCTCCATGATACTCGATTCGCATCCATTTATCAAGCTTCACCAGTAAACTCATCTTTTCCAGGCGTACAGAATTGTTTAAAATAATAATAATGGGAGAGTGTCTGCTCGGGAGGGTTAGGCAGGCAGGCCGTGCGCATCACATCCACCTACCCCTTGTCCAAACCACAGAACTCCCGGTCTTGCTTCTCTCCGTTATCTACGACAGTTCGAAAAAAGCTTCCGGCCCCGGTGAATTCTCCCGAGAATTGTTTGTCCAATTGCAAAACACGCTATATGCTACGTGTATGTGTATGTGGGCAATGGGGAATGAGTGTGAATTGTAATGGGTAAGCGGGAGGAATCCGGGGAAGAAGAGGGGTTGATATCATCACGGTGACGTGACTTTGACCTTCCCCCCCTCCCTCTCCGCCGCCCTCTCCCCTCTCGTCGTCTATGCGTCTGTGAGAGCCCGATGAGAGCTGCCGTAGTTAAGGCAACACGAACGAGATATTATCATTGCCTCCTTTTCTTCCCCTTCATTTAATCACCGCATCCTACAATCCTGCAGCGACTTACTTCATGTAACTTCACTTCACCAGCTCAAAACAATCCCTCCCAACTCCTTACCAACCACACAAACAGGACAGTACAAGCAGATATCATCAAAGATGGCTATCCTCACGAAGGCGGGCAACAACGTCCTCAGACGCACCACCGTCGCCGGCAGCAGCAGGGTGCCTGTGCCCGTGGTGTCCGTAGGTGTGGGAACAGCCCAGCACCGATACAAATCCACAAACACCCACGTCCCCTTCCCAGCGGGAATCATATCCAGCCTCCAAATCTCCCGGCACATTTACGAACAAGAGGGCTTCGTTCCGGAGGAAGTAACCCTCTCCTACGCCGTCTCTCCGGCGGAAATCGCCTTACGTTCCTCAGCCTCCCACACTGCCGCCGCCAACGTCGGCGCCGGTAACCACCACCGCCACGGTCTGCTCTGGTCGCACTGGCACCCCGGTCCTACCGCTGGCGTCGAGTATCAAACCCGCCAATTTTCAGCCTCCACTGGATCTTCGGGGGGGGGATTAAAGCGTGCAGCAGCAGTCTCCGACCCGTCAATCTGGGAATGGGGCGACCGGTCTCACACGCAGCCCGACCACATGGTAGCCGCAAAGCCGATCATGCCAGGCGATGAACACTACGACCCGGTGACCATCAACGACATGCCTTCGCAGAGCGAGGCGAATGTGAAAGCTGATAGGAGCGATATCGATCCTTTGCACCGTTTGGGTGCTCTGGGTGCTTCGTCGTCTTCACACTCGCACCACAGCCACGGAGGAACTCAGGTGCATTACGGTCCGAGCGTTTACCAGAGCCACCAGAGTCGGCAATTCTTTTCTACCTCTTCTTCGAGTGAAGGATATGGAGGAGGAATGAGTGCTGCAGCTGTGCACGACCCGTCAATCTGGGAATGGGGCGATAGAAGCCATACGCAGCCGGATCACAAGATTCCTCCGCGCCCGATCTGGCCGGGAGATCCGCATTATGATCCGGTAACGATCAACGACATGCCGAGCCAGAGCGAGGCGAACGTCAAGGCTGATAGATCGGATATTGATCCGCTGCCTATGGGCTTGCACAAGGTCATCCCTTTGCCCGCTGGGGAGGCTATCCCCGGACCGACGGAGAGCGAGTGGGATGTGAGAGCGGATAGGAGCTCGATGGAGGAGGATCCGTTGAGGGACAGAATGAGTTTTAGGGATTATGGACCGCTGATGGCGGCGGGGAGGAGGACGGAGCAGGAGATCAAGAGGGATAGTATGAAGATGAAGAAGAAGGACAATGCAGATAATGCGGATACTGGAGATATGTATGACATGCCGGAGAGGGGCGACTCGGAGAGCATGCACTCTGGGTATGGGTATTATGGGGCTAGTTCTACTAGTAACTTTAGCGGAGGGGAGATGTGGGAGGGTATGGAGAGTACGGATAAGAAGAGGGGTGTTAGACAGGATCGGTTGTTTATGGAGGACTTTGGGGAGGAGGATGAGAGTCTGGGGACCACCAAGTTTGGAGAAGGAGAGGGTAGAGAGGGGTATGAAGGGGAGAGGGGATATTTTGGAGAGGAAGGACCGGCGACGAGGAGGAGATATGGGATGGAAGAGATGGTGGGAATGGATAAGAGTGCTGAGGAGATGGAGTTGGAGGATGCCATGTTGCCGCACTTCACGAGGTTCTACTGAGCCTGTATGGTGATTTTGGGCATGTGTAATGGGTTGGATGCGATGATTTCATGTTGTCCTCAGGATGAACCAGGTAGCACTGACATCTTGTGTAAACACTTGTAACACCAGTACGTAGCTTGAACATGTCGATGATGCCCTCCGATAGGAGATGGACAGAAGAGGTTGGATCACAACTCCTTACTTGGAGTCTCACCTTGACACCTCGCTTAGAGTCTCGCTCATCCACATTGATGTCGATCCACGTGGACTCGTGGGATAGGCATCACTGTCTATGTGAAAGTGACAAACGAGTTCTGGGACTGGTTCATGAAAACATTTGTCATGATTGCCGCAACAATCAAGTTTACTCCCTTCGTAACAGACTCTCGATGACCCCTGTCTCTCAAAGACACCGGATGCTGGCTGCCTCTACCCGAGACACATCACACGGCACACACACACGAGCAAACCAACGTCGAAAGAAAACGCCCCTTTACCGCCAGGATGGAAGCGACGGTTGAGGATGGAAGGCTAAGGGACGACGCCAGGGACGAGGTTTACCGCGCCTGTGGAATGCCACTTTAAACCAAATGCCGGCAGGGAATGCAGCGTGGATCCTGATCGTCGTTTCCAAACGCTCTTAGCCTTTTGCCAAGGGCGCGCACTGTTAACTGTCAACCACTGGGGCGTCGGTGCCGTTCTCCGTCCCAACAACTGAAGAACCCATAGATCGACAGGAGAAAATATAGTGGTGATCGGCCCGGGCTGATGATCACAGCTTTTTTTCCCCCCCGAGAGAATTTATTAGGGACGTACAAACGCAAACTGAACCCCTCCCTTGCCAAATGAAGAGAACATCATACCGGGAACATGAAACGCAACTTGTTTCTGTTTCTCGGGCAGGTGCTCACCGTCAATTGGACGAGTGTTTCTTTCGTCGCTTGCCTGGAGGTACCAAGATGTTGTGCAACTGGGTACTGGGTATTGGTAGTGGGTAAGGGTGCTCACTGGGTGCAGTGTGGGAAAGATTGTGATGTTGCTGCGTGAAATTGCATTTCCCGCGGTGGCCCTTTCAAGTAGAAGATTTCCATTGCAGGAATGATTCTCTCCAACTTTGGAATCTCATCATACATGCTGTTGAGCGCGTACATCGAGTGTACTTGAAAGTTGCGGGTCAACTTGAATACAAGCGACGACTTATCGTGAAGCACAACATAGCCACCCATCACAATGACGCCGACTGCGACAGTCTTTAGTGTGGCGACCGCCGTTCTCGGGCCGTTGACGACGACATTCACACCACCACCAGCATGCACAGTGGCAGTAGCTGCGATTGAAGGGAAATTCCTTGGATTGGGAGGACATGTCGGCGCCTCCGGCTGGCTCGGCCAGACATGTTCGAAAGGCGGCCCCGTTGACGACACGACCTGCTGGCCACCAACTTCCAGCGGAGCGGAATCCAAATCAAAAGCGCTGGACGGATGGGGATACTACTCTCCAGGTCTGTACTGTCCGGTTGGATATGCGACGGCATGTTCGGCAACAGGCGGTGGCGGTGGAAAGTCCGACTTTGCTTTTCAGTTCGCGCCAGGCGCCAAAGAAACGGCAGTGGGATGTTGTCCAAGGTAGGCCCGCGCCCATCATAGCTGCTCTCAAGTTAGCAATGTGCTAATAAGGTGTATAGCGGCTATGAATGCAGCAGCGTCGACAATGGCCAAACATGTGTCATGACAGCCACATCAACAGAAGTCGAGTATGTAACCTGCGACAAGTCGAACACGGCTGATCTGGCCACCATGACGATACCCGACGAAAAGGAAAAGACCACAGCCTTCAACCTTTATGCTCCAATGATCCAAATCAACTGGCAAAGCTCCGACAGACCGACCGAGACCAAGTTTTCCGGAACGCAATCCCTCTCTGTTGATCCAGATGTTGAGACCATGTCGACATTGGCCATAGCGGGAGACGCGCCAGCAGGCGTCACTTCCAGAGTTGCGTTTCCATCAGCATCAGGGGCACTGATTTCTGAAGACGGGCATGTCAAATATCTAGATCCGTCCGACTCTGGTAACGGAGCTTCCACGGGCACCAAGGATGGCTCCTCAGATGGCCCTAAACCACTCAGCCTCTCGACTGAGGTCAAAGTCGGCATGGGCGTGGCGGGCGGCGTCTTGGCCGTGGCATTTATTGCGATAGTATTCATTTGCGCTTGGAGGAAACGGAAGAATAAGATAGAGGAGGAAGAGTTCGATCGGATGTACGGCACGAAGGACGTGGGATCCAGCACGGCGGACCTGAGACATGAGGAGATTCCGGGCTGGCACCGAGGGCCGCCGAGACGACAGCCGACGGCGCCGATTGATCCGTTCCGCAGCGGTGGTGTTTCCGAGCTGATGGCGCCACCTGCGCCATATCATCCTCCGCCTGCGTACCGGTAGGTAGTGGTTGAGAGAGGCTGAGGAAGATGGATGATGTTGGTGATGTTGTTCTCGTCATCGAGCTGGTCTGGTGTTTGTGATCGATGGGCACCCGGACGACACATGATGATGATTTGATAGTTGTCTGATACCAATTTGGTTGCAATGATGCCAATATCTGGACCGTATTGTAATGTTGCCCAAAGACCATTCATGTGAAAAGAGGGTTGATGAGGTTAAAGTTCATTTGATGTCCCTGCCGTGTGGTCACCAACAACACTCCGACTGTAGCATTGAGCACGAGCCACCTTCCTTCTGTGGACCTTCTGCTGACAGTGCAGTTGTCAAGCCTTCTTCCCCCCCCCCGCGCGCATGTCATCGCGGGAACATTGTCACACCAAGAGCTCCAACTTTCAAGTTTCAAACAAGTAACAACCTGTATATACAACATTACATTTCACAGCTTCAGTATTCGTCGCCACAGCTCGGGGAAGCTCGGAATACCGTCAAAACAAAACACACACACACACAGCAATGATACCATGTCGACGGAATCGACCCGCCCGTTGTTGCTGCCCCAGAACCGCAAGCTACGCCATCTACGCGGCATCTACCTGAGAAACCTCAACTTCACACGCCAACGCGGACGAACCATTGACGATGCTGCTCTTAACAAGACAGCCGGAAAGCTCGAGGCTTTGCGCCAGAGACCAGACTTGCACCATGCATTATCATCAGAAGACCTACGCCCACCCGCCATCAGACGCCGAAGTACCCTCTTGGCCAACGCCGACCCCGCCACACGACAAAAGACCTTTGAGGATACCTTTGCCAACAAGCTTGCCGATGCTTTCTTTACTCTCCATGTCGACGGTCTAGAAGATCCAATATACATCAGCGAGGTTGCTGAACGAGCTACGGTGCGCTTATCATGACAACTTCCTCGGGAGATAAACCAACGCTAACTGCCTACAACACGGACTTCAGAACTTCAACTTCCGTCTATTCGAACTCGCCGAGCTGGACTCGACGATAACCCAATCGCCCCAAGTAACAGTCCGAGTATGGACCAAACGACAAGGCCAATGGAGCCTTCTCCTCGAAGACGACGTCGACCTGCGCGCGCTCAACTGGCTGGGCACTCTCCAAAACGTCCACTTCCCGCCCAACAGCCTAGTCTTCCACATGATAGACGGCATCTACTCCCTCGAGCTCTCCAACAAATATCCACCACCCAAGAAAGAAGTGGCCCCCTTACCAACATCCTCGTACAACGTCCTCATGCGCCTCGCCACCCTCAACAACTCGGTCCAAGACGCTCTCGCAACCCGTGACGCCCTCGCCGCGCAAATAAACGACCTCCTCGCCCAGGAAGAGTCCAAACAGCAAGAAGACGGAGGAGGAACCCTCGCCGAAGCCGAAGAGAAACTCAAGCTAGCCAGCAAGTACCTCTCCCTGCAAAAACGGGCGGTAGCCGCCGCTAGGAAACGCAACGACGACCTGCGCGCCTCCATCGCCGCGCGCAAAGCCGCCATCGAGTCCGGGTTAGCCGTCCAGCACAAAGCAGAAGAAGACGTGAGGCACGCGGCGGGCGAACCGCTCGCGCAATCCAAGACCCTCCTCGCTTCCGTCCGCGACCAAATCCGCGGTCAACGCCGACGCGTTTGCGAAGATTTATTGACCATCTACCGCATCGCGCCTCTCCCTCCTCCCCCTCCCCCTTCATCTTCAGTGGACCCTTCTTCATCGTCGCAATCGCAATCGCAAGCAGCCAGAGAGCACGACCCGCTATCTTTCCAGATCTGCTCCTTACCGCTAGCCAACACCCTGCTTGACCCAACAACTTCTTATTCTCCGACATTTACATACGCAGGCAACCCCAGAGAGAAATACCCGCACGAAGAAACGCTCTCCGCCGCCCTCGGTCTCGTTGCCTTACTGGTCCATCATCTCCAGCATTACCTCTCCGTCCCACTCCCTTATCCAATAAAATGGCACGGTTCCCGCTCAACAATTCGCGACGATATCAGTAACTTTCCTGTAAACCCGAACGCCTCCTTGTACTCCTCCCATGCCTCTCAGTCTGCCCGCTCAACCACTCCCTCTTCTTCATTAAGAGGGGAAGTACCAGACCCCAACCGCGAATTCCCCCTCTTCCTTCCCAAAGGCGGCAGCACAGCACAGTACAGATTCGAGTACGCCTGGTTTTTGTTGAATAGAGATATTGAAGTTCTCTGCTGGAGTCAGGGATTAAAGGTGGTGGATATTCGCCATACGTTGCCGAATCTGCAGTGGCTGTTGATGGTTTGTAGTGCGGGACGGGAGGAGATGCCGGAGAGGAAGAAGGGTGGGGTTAGGGGGTTGTGGTTGGGACGAATGCGCAACAAAGGGGTGAGGTTTGATGATGGTCTTGGGTTGGAGGTTGATGGGAGTGGGAGTGGTGATGGAGGCGGGAGTGTAGAGGGGAGTCAAGTTGGGAGTCAGGCGGGGAGTCAAGTTGGTGATGAAACAAGCAGGGACGGTAGTCGAAGGGGAAGCATGGATAGTGACGCAACCATCACTTCCAACACCCCCCGAGCCCGAGCGGCGACGAGGACGGGTGGTGGGTTGACTATCGGCCACGCGAACGGTACCAGAGCCAACGGGGCAGCAGCTAGGTCGCTGTCTAGATCACCGTTGGCCCAACTCCCGTTCGACGAAGGGTCGACGAAACTTACGTTGAGAACAAAGGGGTTGAGGGAGAGTGCGGCAAGATAAGATAAGATGCCAATGCCTGAAACTGGGTGGACAGGGTTGAAGATGATGATGATGATGATGATGATGATGATGATGATGATGATGGGTTATGTTACGGGATGGAATGCACTGGATTGAGTTACGTTAATGAGCATGGACGGAGCTTATGATAATTTAAAAAGCAAGAAAGCGATGACTTTTGCACACATATTTATTTAGAGGTACTATGGAGACCTCACCAAGCACCCACCGGACCGGTTAGAGAGAAAAAAAAAGGGTATGGCGAAGAAGCTGAAAAAGAGGTTTGGTTGAGCGTTTTCATGAATGCATTAGCGATATGTTTTTGTTCAAAAAGTTATTTTATTATGAGTCTCGGTCCTGTCACTTTATGCTTTGAGATATTAGAGATATTCACGTATCGTGACCCACGATGGCCCATGACTGAAGTGATTTGATTAACTAACCAAGTGTGAGAAGACGGTGAAATCGATGTTGGTAGGTCAACACGGACTTGAAGAGATGTTGAATACCTAGTAGACATTGATTTACCATAGTGACAAAAGGTGGTTGTTAACTGTGCTAACAAAAGTGTCGTTGATCATCTTCACCTCACCAAAGTAATAAAGGTTATACAGCAATCATTGTCTTGAACCATTAAACATTCCTCTTTCAACAAATCCTAAATGTTGATACTACTCGATCGATGCGTTCTTTTCCAAAGCCGTAATGCTTCCCTAACAATATTTTCCGAATCCGCAAGTACAAATACAAAATACTATGTAAGTAACCACGAAGAAACTATTTCACTGATTACAATGTTGCTACTAGTAGTAGAGGTATACTAGTAAATGGTATATCCATCCCTTTCCATCCTTTTCCAACTTTCTTCCAATCAACACGCGCTCAAACACTTACCACGCTCACTGTTCTGCTTTTATCCTGACCTGGCTTCTGGTAACCAAGCTAAACCAAACCGAGCCAAACTGCCCGCTTGCTCTCAAACTTCCCGACTCGAAATCGGTGAAAGGTCTCAAAAGAAAAGACCCTTCTTCTTCTTCTTCTGGTTATCCATCCCCTTCAAGATATCGTCAAACGTGCTTCCCCCATTATTCGGTGGCGCAGCTGCCGTCGTCGGTTGTTGCGCCATCTGCTGTCTCGGCGGGCTCTGCCTCGGTGGACTTTCGCCCCTGCCCAATGGGCTCGGGCTGACACTCGACCCTGGGTGTTGTACAGGCTGACCATTCATACTAACAATCGATCCCCTAGATGGATCCCTATACGCTGCAGGCGGTGCGCTGGATCGTCCATCATACCCATTGTCTACCACGCTGAGGTTGCTAAGCGCAGAAAGAGTCTGGGCGCTGCTGACGGAACTAGCGCGGTGGCCGTGGCCGGGTTGGAACCCGTTTCCGTTCAAAGAATCAGGTCGGCTCGGGATGTTCGCGGGCGTGGAAAACACTCGCGAGGTGCGATCTTGACCGGATGCGAGAGATTGCATGAATTCCGCCTCTTGCTGGGATGAGGGCCCGCTGGGATCGAATTGGCTGAAATCGAGCGGCTCGAGGCCTATGGCGATACTAGATCTGTAGGTCGAGACACCTCTATCTGCTGGTGATCCTGTGCGGGGACGGAGATGAGGAGAGGCGGGTTCGGAACCGGGCGTGCCTATGTAGCTGCTTTGTGGTCTTGAGCCGGAGCGCTGATGGCCCGCGGAGAAGGGGTCGTTATCTTGGAATACCGCGCGGGGTGGTTCCAGAGGGGTGATTCCTTGTCCCATAGCGGCGGCGGCGGCGTCGAGTGGTTGGTTGATGGCGGCTTGAGCAGAGGGTGGGAGGAGAGCGGCTTCCCATTCCTTGGCTGCTAGCCAGCAGTGCGAGCGCATGTAGATGCCTTCCACCGAGAACATGACTACGTCGGCGGACAGCTCGACAATGCCTTGGCCGTTGTTGGTCTGGTACCACATCTTGCGGACTTCGCCGGCGTCTTCCATCCAGGGCGGGTTGCCCTGAGGAGCTTCGCAGAGGAAGTACTCGACTCCTTCGGTCCAGTGGAGGCCGGGGGCGTCGACGACGAGCATGGGCAGCGACTGCAGCACGACGTAGAGGAAGAGCCAGTACCCAACGCGCTGATTTGCAATGTCCGAGGGATTGACGCCCTTGGCTTCCTTGTGCTCGAACTCCTTGAAGGCTTGGAGGAAGGGGAGTTGGAGCGCATCGGTGTCGATGTTGTGGGACTTGATGAGCATGAGCATCAGCTCGTTGGAGGCCAGCTTGCGGTCGAGCTTGGCCCTCTTCTTGGCGTCCAGCTCCCGGTAGTTCTCGTGGATGGCGGTCATGGAGGGGATCTTGGGGCAGTCGAAGGGGATGGGCGGCAGGACGGGAGGCGAGGAGTGGTCAAACTCGCTGAGCATGGTGCGCAGGGCGGAGCGCATCAGGAAGAGTTCGTACTCGAGCTCGTTGGCGTTCTTGGCCTTTTCCCTCTCGGCTTCGGCTTCCGCGACACCGTCATCGAACTTCTGGTCGATCACACGGGGAGTAATGGATTCGCGATCGACAAGCAGGTCGTAAAGCGCACAGCAGTCGGAATAAAGCATCTTGAGGCATTGTCGGTTGAGACCGCTCTGAGAGAACTGGTTCTTCTTGCTTCGTGCCTTGGGCGGCCAGTTGCCGAACTGGTCCTTGTAGTAGCTGAGCACAAAAGTGCGCATTTTGCCGAAAGACTTTTGCCATTCCTTGAAGTTCAGATGCTTGGCCTCTTCGCTGGATGTCGAGCTGCCAATGCCTGCAAACAGGGAAGGGAACTCGAAGCTCTCAAGTTTAAGGCTGGCGTTGGCCTGTCTGTTGGTGAGGTCCAAATACGCGCGCTCAAGCCTGTTCCTGGTGCTAACCGAAACATTGTTGTAGATGGGTAGCTTGAGATCCTGGATGGACTCGTACTTGCCGACAGCGTGGGTGAAGGCTTCGTTGTAGAGACTCCATGACCGCATGTGCTCACCCAGGATGATAGCTTGGATGGTCTTCTCGCGACTGCCTCTCACATCCGAAACGCCAAACTGGTCCAAGAAGGAGTTGAAGGCGCCATCGACCTGTTCGCCAAACGTTGACCCGTCATGATTCCTGAAGCCCAAGTACTTGAGCAGGGCAGCCATCTGAAGCAGTGTCGCAAACAATGTCGGGTGGTTGTTTGCGGCAATAATGGGCTGGCTGGTTAATAAAGCAAACAAATTCCTTGCAGCGACAAGAGTGTCGAGGTTGGTATTCTCAAGCGGGAGGTATAGGTGTCCATCATTCGGGTTGGCGCCATAGGCCGATGATGGTGGTACTGGTCGCCTGTTGGTGGCATCGTCGACTGTAAGAAGGCTGCCGGCGGCGCTAGCTTTCCGGGGGTTGTTGAACCCGGTAATCTCGGACAGCAATAGTTGCGACGAGCTGACGAGGTAATCGTGGACTTTGAATGATGGGCCGCGGCCACTCGTTGGGGGATGGAGGTAGATGAAGAGGTTTCCAGATTCGTTCCATAGCTCGGGTACCTGTTATGAGTGGGTAAGGTGAGTTAGCATTGGTGAGGTTGTGACGGAAGACAAGACACACCGACGGGAAACAGTCCGGTCGGGTGCAACGGATGTAACCACTCAGGGGCAAGGAAGGGCACGTCATACCTTTTCACCATTCATGAGGTTCGCAGTGCTGTAATCGGCCTTGCTGTCTGGCGCAACAATCCAGGCGGCATTGCTGTCTCCCTTGTTGACCTCCGAGTTGGACCTTGATCGGCCTCCGAACCAACTCCTCCTCTGCTTCTGTTTTTGGGTAATCGGACTACTGTCATCGCTGCCGTTGGAATGTGTTGATGTCGGCCTCGAGTCGGCCGAAGTGGAAACGATGCGCGGTGGTTCTGCTGCCGGAGGTTGACTGGAAGTGCTTCGGCTGCGCGAGTGGCCTGTAGAGGATGCTGGTGAGCTGTTGCGGGGTGGTTGTTGCTGTTGTTGTTGATAGTCTTGTTGTTGTTGCTGCTGCTGTTGCTTCTGGAGACGGTTGGGTGGAATGGCGACTCCCGGCGGAGGACCTTCGACCGAAACACTGCGGGACCCGGTGCCAGGCCTTGCTGCGGGACCGGGCGAGGAGGTGGAGGGGTTCGTCTTTTCTAGGGGCATTGTCGACGCTCGGACTTGGTGTGGTTCTAGGAGATTTAGTGTTAGGAGATATGTATGAAAGAGGGAAAGAAAGATGGATCGACTTAAATTGAACTCACCTGTTTGCGACAAAGGAGGGGAGCTATTAGTAGAGGTGGAATAGTTGGCAGCCGGGTCGTAATATAGGTTGCTGTTATGGCTGACATTGACACTGGTACTTGGCCGGATGGTTGTGGTGCCATTGGTGTGGTCGGTGCCCGTCACTCTCACTGTGGACTTGGCTGAAGTGGTTGCTTGCTGCGCCCCTGGATTGGCGTAATTGGCGGCAGTGACCGGGGCCATGGAAAGGAGGGGATTGGCAGTCACTGGCCGCTGCTGCTTGTGCAGCTTGGTACCTTTTTCAGCACTAACAGAGGTACCCGTAATACCCTGCTGATCTGCGTCTGATGAGAAAAATGATGGAATCAGCATCGAAAGCCGGGATTTGCGCCGTTCCTTTTTCCGCTCCTGGGATCCCTGGTCGACCTCTGTTGCTGGTGTTGACACCGTCAGTCCTGTTGCTGTTTTACTGTTGATGCTGCTGCTCCTTGACCCAGCAACACTGGTGTTTGCCGTCGAGATACCACCACTGCTTTCGCGGTCCGTGGTGTCATCGCTGCTGCTGACGATGGTGGGTGTCGTCTCGAAGTCTGGTGTAGGTGATAGCTGGACCACGGTGGGTTCTTGTATCCGTTTTCCTTCCCGCCGCTCGGGGTAGTGTGATGAAGAAACGAGGAGAGATGTAACGAGAGGGTGCTCTTTCGGTGGATGAGCTTGCGCTGCCCCTGGGTTGGACCGGCGTTCATGACAGCACTCGGAGGAGCCATGTTGTCGGGGGCCACAGGCGACACAGGCGACACGGGTGTCCGGTATGGATACTGAAAGTGATAGTGATGCTGCGGCGGCGGAGGCACGACGTATACTGGAGGAGGACCAAAAGAAGTTCTGCTTCCTCCCATCTTTTCCCGCGGAAAAAAGAGCGCCGTCGCCCAGCCTTATACCAAGACGTCGCTATTCCGGCAAAGAATGTCCTACCCCTTACTTTGCAAGGGGCCCGGCACAAACGGGGGACGGCCTGGTCGTGGAGTCGTCGGGGTGCTGCGTTGCCGAGAACCACAATGTGGTGATAGTGGATCGTGATCGATATTTTGGTGGAGTGAGGTGGCGGGTAATGGTGCTTCTAATACCAAAGAATGTCGATATGACGGAGAGATTGCTGGTGCCAAAAAGGTGATCAACCAGTCGAAGTCAGCCTCAAGTTTCTGGAAAGAAGGAAGATCAAGTAAGTATCTTTCAGTTGGCAGTCAAGCCAGGCAGGCAATGAGCGGGACACACGGAAAGATATTAGTCTGCCCTTCTGCAAGTCGAGTGAAGGGGTGCCAGCCTGGGATGGACAACATCGGACGGGAAAGGGACGACAGTGACAGCGATAGGTACCGCCCGCTTGACAAGATGCCGAATTGCAGGGTCAGTCCATCATCGGAAGAGACATGGACATCTGCATGGCTTGACATGGTGCTGCTGCTGCTGCTGCTGCAAGTGTTGACAGACTTCCATGACCGACCGACATCTACATAGTATGTACATACAGTATCCATCCCTACAAGGAAGATGTCGAATTTGTTTCAGGACCGACATATCCAGCTGCCAATGGGGCGATCGGCCTTGGGCTGTGGTTTGATATTCTGGTCATCAACCACTTTAACTTCCGCCCTCGGAGCAAACTGAACCTTTGACTTTGTGAGGCAGGCATATCTATCATGTGTTCCGCCGTATAGCGCCGTATAGCGCCGTATACGCAGTGTTCCGCATGGCTTTCTCCCCTTTTGGGTCTTTAAAAGAAGAAATCCATGGCCGCCCGTCTCTCTTGACTGGGTTGTGAGTCCTCGTTGGTGACACAGGATACCGTATCCATCAAAAGCCACTCGGGGTCCTCCGACACACTCGCTGCCTCATCGGATCCAGAACTCTGACGACGTTCTTTGGAGCGTCAAAGAAACGGGTTTACGGAACTAAAGTCACACTCCGGATAACGTCATGGCTCTCTCTTACATCAAACAATTAAGAGGGCATTTTTAGCGTCGTCCTCGTCTATCGATAATGGCGGGGTTACATGCAGCTAGAAAGAAGTGGAAGCAGGGCCCTTGGGGCGCTTTCAGCTAGGGGGGTTAGGGGTGTCGTGGTGGGCGCATGTGGATGCAAGGGTAATCTCTTGTCACCCGCCGCACCGGCCGACAGTCCGCTGGTTTGTCACTTTCAAACCTCTCTTCCTCGGTATCGCATCCCCAACACTTCACCGTCTCTTTCACACACAAGACTCTTGGACTTGTGGGTTTCTATTGACTTGTTCTGGGCAATGGAGACTTTTCTCCTCTGCGCAATAATATGGGTGCGAGAATACGGGCCTCATCCCTGTCCCCTACTCCACCGAGATTGATAACTTGCTCCGGTAAAAATGATGAATCCAAGAAGCCCAAGAGGTTCATATTCACAACGAACCATTGGGCGCCCACTGCGGCCCTTTCCGTCGTCGTCGTCGTCGTCGTCGTCGTCAACAACAACATCCGGGGAAAGCTGAAAAGGTACACGACATTCCGAAAGCACTGCCACTGCCACGCCCAAATGCCACGTCAGGTTCACAAAAAGAGTTTCCCAAAAGAGGAGCCCTGATGAGTCCATACACAGAGATTCTGTAACCCATCGCCGCGCACATGCTGCTCCCTACTCGCAAGTCAAAGCAACCCGATATCCCGAGCCAGCGGATGGGAACCAACCAATTCACCCAGCAGACGCACATGCATGCTCGTGCAAGCAAGTGGAAGCTGTACGAGTAATCCCGCTAGACACTGACGTGCATTCCCTTTTCAAACGACATTTCCAGCAATATCTCAGTCCCTGGAGAGTCTGGGTCCGCTTAGTAACGAGATGGGCAACCATTTCATTCCCCAATCGTGCAAACCCCAAACTCTCCAAGTTGCCCCGAGACCTGTTTATTATGAACCCCGGAGTTTGCGGACCGCACTTTCACGTCCATGGTCATCACCTCGACAGAGCAGTCGAGGCTCAATACCTAAATCGATTGAAATAGCCATGAGCTTCGGTTTCATTCACACCAAAGAAGAAAATCCACATCGTTATTTATCCCGGCGATACGGTTGATACGGTGGCGCTAGAACAGCTCCTAGAAGGAAGCTAGAGAAAAAGAGCTCTCCCCGAACGTTTACGCCTCATTGTGCCCCTGTCCCGTCGCTCGCTCTAACAGGGGCTCAGAGGTACCTCTAGCGTAGCCCAGGTCTATTTTCGGCAACAGGATCGTTTGGTTCTTTCTTTTTCTTCAACCCGAGACGCCCATGATGAACCAACAACCAACAACAGCAACCCAACCCAAAGCCATCTCGCATATAGCTGCCCGTCTACCCGTCGCGATCATGCTCCTCAACAGGAAACAGAAAGGTTATCGAGGTGCGAGTATCGCATTTGATCCCTCGGTTTTTGGTTGTTTTTTTCTCTCTTGGGGAGAAGTTGTAGGATCAGACTTACACGGTGAACTCTGTCTGCGACTCTGCGACGTTGTCAAGACTGAGGAGCCTTTTCTTTCCTGGGGAGCGTGTCGCACTCACGGAATCCTTCTCCGGAATCTATGAACGTTGGGCGTTGGGTACCTTCAGGCGCCCGAACCTCAACATTTTACATCCTCAAGCGGAAGAGCGCCTAGAGCGGGAGCCCACACACGCATGTGAAGACATCGCGGTACCGGATTCTTTCTGCACGGAGAATTACAGATCACCAACAGCTCAACCTTCAGCCAACCACGTGTAACATCAACCACTGAAACCCCCAAAACCTGCAATGGATACCACGCTGCACTTAAACCCATTGCATACCCGAGGGGGTGGAACCGCCCCAACCGCCTCTCCTCGCCCTAGAACAAAAACGGGTAGAGGCTGACCAAGATTGTGTGGTGTGGTGTGGTGACCAACTTCAACATCCTGTTTTGGATGAATGTTTTGCCTTACCACTGCCTACGGGGCCTACGGCACAGGTAGGAGGCAAGAAGTAGGAGGTAGCCGCCGGAACAACACTTCAGGATTCCGCTCAGCCACTTCCCAAAGCGTCAACCCCGCCTTCATGATGCGATCTAGGCACTGAAACTAACAGACAACGTTGTGTAACCCGCGCTTGTACATAAGTATGTAGTGATTTGGGAGTGGAAGGGTGACAAAGCGGGAAGGAGGCTCGGAGAGAAAGAATGCGTGCGGGTGGCGCAGGTGAGTTGTGAGCCCCACTCACAAGGGGAACACAATTGGTATAGAGGTATGTATATGGAGATCTTTTTAATACCTGTGTAGTAAGTTGACGCTAATCTGAGAAACAAGAAAAATGACCAAAGAGTAAACGCCGAGGTGAGATGTCACTTGATCAGTTAATGGCCGTCGATTGTGCTGAAGGATAGAAAGAAGTATCCTTGACTCGCTTTAGCTTCTAACAGATATCCTCTGACTTGTTCCCTACTCTCCTCCAGGCTTACCTTGTTCACAGTTCCTATGGCGAACGGGTGGTGCACGAAGGTGACACAGCAGATATCGCGAACGGGGGAGCCGCAATGGGAAGCTTACAAACCAAGGGCCTACCTAGTTACCCAAACCCACGCAGTGAGAAGCTCTCAAGAGTGAGTGTAAGACAGCATCAAAGTCTCTACACAGTACCTAAGCAAATACCTAGTCACCCAGTCGTAGGGCAGCCAACCAGATATCGAGACGGCAAGAAAGACAGCCTACTCTAACTCGGTTGAGTTTCTTGTTTCACAAACCACTGCACAAACCGTCTATCTCCAAATGAACACAAGCTCGTATAAATGTCCACTATCATCACGCAACACCCGTTTGCTTCCTGCTGTTCCTTTCATAAGTTCACTTACTTGGAACTCCCAAACAGTGTCTACCTAAGCAGAGATGTTTGTTCAGTTCATGCTGGTAACGTTGGCAACCTTGTGATTAGTGAACATACACAGACTGATACAGCCTCATCAGCCACGGTCTTTGTTCAATTGTTTACTTGAAACATTGCTTGTCACCATCTCAACGAACGAGGAACGACAAACCACGTGTTGTGGCTTGTACATTGGTTGATACGGGTATGGAGTTTGATTACCCTTTCCCAGTGTTTTTCTGTTGTATTTTCCAGTGTTTCCCGGTGCCATCTGCCATCTGCCATCTACCGTTGGGTTACATATTCCCACAATCTTTCCAACGCAACTGTGATTTGAGAAACTCACGGTGAGATGACAGTACTTCTAGCGGAGACGGTTCACCAATCAGATTATACCGTATGCGTTGCGAAGATAAGCCATAGATCTGGTCATCAGAACAGATAACAGCAAGACGCACATCAAACGCTGAAAAATTGTCTTTTGGACCATTGGATAACCTACCTCCCATCAAGGTATTCTCAAAGGTTCAGACATTTGGGTCTCTTGATCCTCAATAGCACACAGCCTTCGTACGACCACATTGATCCGCACTTGTTCGAACTTCAGCCAGTCAGCCCAACTGCCCGGCCATCTCGACATCTCTTCCTCGCAAGTCGGGGAGTAGTCACTCCCGGATCGTTCATGTAACACAACATACCTCGTTGAACCAGTTACACAGCCGGTCAACAGATCACCGGGTAAGCCGAGAAATTTGCGGTGCCAAGTCCGAGACCGAGTGTCAGTTGAGTATAAGTGGCGAGTTTACAGTAGAGGTATAATGAGATAAGATTAGGCATCTTACCTATATCCGACAAGCCATACAAACCTCAAGCCTCGACGGGGAGTCGAGTCCGAGTGGCGATCCCTCACTGCCTGTCACTCTGCCAGATGAGACTGGAAGGAGAGACTTATTAATAAAGTACGCGCTAGAGATACAAGCAGAACACGGTTGAGCCTCCAAGGACTTGCCTTTGTTGGACAAGGGTAAGTAACACGTGGAAACATCAGCTAAAGAACAAACTCAAAGGTAAGGCCTGAGACTTGTTCCAAGGCTCGTATTGTCAAATTGGTCAGCGTCTTCCATTGATCTACCATATGTTCCTACAAGAATCCCAGGATCGTCAATGGGAGACCCCATATGAACGGACCTCTGACTTTTGATTTGTGATATCATCCAACAAGCAACCATCAAAAGACGAACCGAGGTATCGAGTATAATTCATGTTTCCCCCAAGTCCCCAAAAACCTTCGGGCCGCTGTGTTCCCTTCCTTGGTATAAACACAATGCTGCCTCCCCTAAATCCCGGAAGAAAAAGAGAAAAAAAAGAAAAGAAAAAAGAAGAGAGCGGTGAACTGAAGTAAGAACTGACAATGAAGCTGTTTCTGTCCCTGGCTCTGCTGTAGGACCAACATCACCCCGAAAAAAAACCAATACCATTCCGTCCATCCAAAACAATGAAGCTAACTAACTATAAACATTATCCCCTGGCTGCATAGACTCACCCGGCTGTTGTGAGATACTTCAAGGAACCACCGCGTGCCGCTGGAACGTGGATGGTTTTCCCAAAAGGATTCCCAAACAACCGAGTAAATCCATATTAGCGGTTAGCGATTGGGGTTCACAACACAACAACCAACCAAGCCCCTTTTATCCAAACAACGAACCCCTTACAAAGATCATCCCCTAGCCGGATTCGCCCGGTTGTTGTGAGATCCTCCTTCACGAGACCAAATACCACCCTTGCTCCCGCGTGCCAACTAGAATGAGGAAGGTTCTGGCTGAGGGATCTCAAAACAACCTAACGCGTCCATGTTGGCGGTTAGGCAGTGATGAGGTTCACAATGGGCATGTTGGATCGTTGCCCAACCGGCGGAACATCATGGTGGACCTTACCATCCATCCATCCATATATATAAAAGTCAAATTCGATTTCTTGATCACCCTAGGTGCTAGAATCACACCGGTGGAGATGTAAACCACGGTAGCAGATTGATTAAGAAGACGGGTTCAACTTCTACATGGACGGACGGTAAGGTCCAAGGTATGGTGTAGACGACGTGGTGGTACTGCATTGCCTGAATAGAAACTTTGACCCGAATGGACGTTGTTCGAGCTGAAGCCTAAGGATAGGTAGTCTTTGACAGAACGAACCAACCACTTCATGTACCCAGAAATTTCCTGGCATTGAACCTTGTCCCCCACCTCGTCAGGACTAGAAACATTTCTGACAAGCACAGCGAGCCAATTGCCAGAGACATTTCTAGTCCTGAAGAGCCGATCTAGGTAGTCACCTAGACTCGCCCAGTTGTTCCATGATAACCCCCAGAAGCACCAACCGCACCAGTTTTTAATAACGCCTACTTAGACTGTCCGTACCGATCACCGCTTACCACATACCTCTCCCCATGGGAAAGGACGTTCCTTGACGTGTGAGAACATCCACCCCGCAGAGTAGAGGCAGCTGGATGATTCAGGGAGCAAGTAGACAAGCAGACACTGTGCCACGAGAGCGGTGTATGTAATGAGTACAGGAAAGGTCTCAAAACAATAGGGCGGATTTAGGTGACGATGAGGGTCGCAATAAGGGGGACCATGTCAGAAAAGCAGGGAAGGTCAAGCCAGCAACATCAAAATCAACATCAACAACCAAGTCAATCAATCAACCAATCAATCAAAAACATCTGGTATCTAACCAACCCACAACCATATCCAGAAACATGGACAGAGACATGAATGAGAAGAACGCCGCAACCCCATGCTTTTCCCGTTATTCATTCACTTTTCCTCATCACCACCCTACCACCCCCTATATCCCCCACCAGCCGCTCCTCCCCCCGGCCCTCCGGGTCCTCCAGCCACCGGCGAGTAGGGCTTGTATCCCGGGTAACCGGCCGCTCCATCATCCTGACCTTGTGGTTCTGGCCGAGAATATCCTCCAGTACCAAAATCAAACCCACCACCTCCATCACCACCACTACCGCCGCCGCCACCGTTCATGGTACCCATACCCATACCCATCGTATTGTTTCTCACGGGCGGCTTAGGCAACGGGCCCGTCGGTGCTGGAGAGGGGGTAGAGCGCATTATATCACCGTAACCAGCTGCTGCTCCTCCACCATAAGCGTTGTTACCGCCAAAGGTATTTTGTCTCTGGCTCTGGCTGCCCTGGGAGTATGATCCCTGGTTTGAGAAACTATCGTACCCGCCTGTGACTCCCGTTGATTGAGGAGCAGGACTGTGATGTCTAGGTCCTCCGAGGAAGGAGGTCATCACCTGCCATTTCGTAGGCTTGGTTACCATTGCCGCTGGATCCTCCCCCGTACCCGAGACCGCCGAGTTGTTGCTCTGGGCCGGGAGAGCGGCGGGTCATGGGGTTTTGAGGGTAGGATGTTGTGTTCATTGCTGCGGGCGGGGAGCGGACGCGGTTAGGTCCTCCCATGCTTCCGGCTGCCATGCCCATTCCTGCAGCTACGCCACCCGCGGCCAGGCCGCCGTAAGGTTGTTGTTGGGAGTTGCCGTAGCCGCCTTGGTTACCGGTGTCGTAGTTGTCGTAGGGTGAGGTGTCGTAAGGTGAGGTGGGACCATTGACGCTGCTGGCGCCGTAGGAATCGTACGTGTTGTTTCGTGCCGAATCGTAGGTGTTGTTTCTCGTGGGCTCGCCGTACCGGCCGTAGGCATCTTGTTGTTGGTTGCCATAACCACCGCCAGGGGCGTTGTACCCTGCGTTTCCTACGGCTGCCGGGCCCATGGCGGAAGCAGCCATTCCATATGGTGACGGGGACGAAGATTGGCCGTAGGGAGAAGCCAGAGGCACCTGGTTATACCCTTGAGCATTTTGGCCATAACCACCATTGTTTCCATAAAAGCCGTTGTTACCAGCCGGAGCACCATAGGGACTCTGCTGGCCCCCTGGAGGTGGACTAGGCCGTGGTGTCGTTCCTCTTCCAGGTCCTGCTGCCGGAATAGCAGCCGCCGCGCCCGACATGACCGCAGCCCCGGTACCAGCGCCGGCACTCTGGGCAGCCGTCTCCTCCGGCTTCTTCAACTGATCCAGCTCCACAGCTTCCTCTTCCACCATCACCTTCTTGCTTCCAGCCCCTTCCCACTCCGGCATAGCAGGCAGCGAATCACCCATTGTCTGTCTCTTCTTGTTGACCTCAAACACAGCATACTGAGGTTCGGATGCCTTGCTGTTGGTGTTGGTGTTTTGCGAAGGTTCGAAGTATGATGGCGCCGGCGCCGGGCGGCTACCAAAGCCGTGGTCCATAGGCTCTGGAGCCTTGTAGCCCTGATCGGGCGGAACGAAAGGCGCATCGAGGTACTTGTGTTTGCGAGATCCGGGAGGATCACAGCAGCCGCAGCAGTTGCCACAGCATGCGAGGCATCGGAAGCACTCGCAACAGCAGGAGAGACCACAACAGAGGCAGCGACCTATGCACCAACATATCGAGAAGATGACGACTCCCGCAAAGATCATGAGCCCGATGGCGCTCCATCTGTGAGAAAAGGGTTAGCCCGTGTCAATCCCGGCGCCGGCATTTCTTTTGCCCGGGAGGTAGGTTCAGTTGCACACGTACTTGCAGTAATCAACTTGCATACAGTTGTCCCAACTTGAAAACGCCGTCTTAGCATCGTTGAGATCTTGGACGACATCTCTTTGTCGGAGCGCCGGTTGTACGCTGCGCACCACCAAGTTCACAAATCCATCCACGATTCCCCCTTGGACACTCCTCCTCATTGCCACGTCTATCGTAGGCATCTTGTCGGTTCTTTTTGTATTCCTCTAAAGCGATCTTTCGTCCGCTGGTGGGTGCGGAACTTGGACAGGCCGGAGTGATCGACGACCTGTCCAATCTGTATTTTTCGGGTATCGATAAAAATAACTCTATTGCAATCGCTGCTAATCTCTCATTGTTTCCGTGTTCTTTTCTAATAGCCGCCCAAGCTCGTGATGTAATGTGCGATCGATGTTCTTGTTTCTAGTTGCGAAGACCGGCGCGATGAGTATCTTGAAGCTCGATGAATCGTTTTGAGGACGGTAAATCCGAACAAGAAAAGGATTGTGACCGGTAGGCTATGCTGAAAGAAATCAACAGAGCGCTTGCGTGCAGAATAATGGGTATTGCAAAAAGAATGTGTCGTCTGCAGTATACCGATACTGTGATACTGTGTGAATGCGTGGTTCGATCGATCGATCAAAGATGGCGAAGTCGAAGTCGAAGGGAGAAGTCGTCGGACGGTCGGTCGTCTGTCGTTAAGCGCGAGCGGCGAAGCGGGTAGATGGATGGATGAGCGATCCCAAATCCAACAACCTGAATCAAAACCCGACTGCAATTGAGCAAGGCGACTTGAAGGATGAACAAAGTACAGTATCAGAGTGAACCCTCTTCGGTGGCCGCCGTTCTAGCCGTGTCGTCCAGGTTGGGCAAGACGGTCGCACAGGTCGGGAAGGATGTCGCACTGACTGGTCGTCTCAGATTAACGTTGAAACCAGGGCAGACTGAGAGACGCGGCGCAGTAACGGTAGTAATGAGTGAATGACAGAGGTTGTGAAGGGAGAGGACGAGGAGAAACGAGTACCAAGACCACTTTGACGCGAAAAGGGGGTATTGGTACGTTATCCCTCAAGAGGCAAAGAAGCGAACCTGACCCGGACCGCGGAACCTGCTAACGAAGGCTCGGAAGGGAAGGCGAAAAAGACGCCCTCGGGGAAAAAGATGGATTTGTGTGGGAAGGGGTAAAAAGGCACACACCAGAGAACCAAAAACGCGGGTGAATGGTGCGGTACCTAGAACTAGTGCGCCTTCGAATGACCCGCTTCGTTCCTGTTCCTCTTCCACAACCCCGGTTCTGCTGCAAGGTACGGACGGGCTTTGATGGGCTACCTAGTGTACACTTAGGAACGGGGCCAACGCCAGGCCAGGGGTGATAGTGGTGACAAGAGGGACCACGGGGAACAAGGACGGGGCAGTGGACTGTTCTTGGGTGGGATTTACTCACCAGGGTTCTCTTGAGTGTTCCTCTTCAATACTTTTTGGGTCGCTCGTGGATTGGTGAAACACCAAGCTAATGCGCCTTGATTTGCGCGATCAGTTAGGATAAGATAAAACCGTGGTACTGAACAAATTTGGTAAATTGATGCCGGTAACCGGAGATGTCAATATCGATATGCTCTTGGATGTGATGTCCTGCGCTGTGCTATGCTGTTGGTGTTGGTGTTTCTACAAGGAATGTAGATGTACAATCCGAGGTAGCATGCATGCCATAAGAAACTCCCAAGGCTCCAAGAGTTGAAAGTCACAATCGCTAGCAAATGCTCGCTACTTACCGAAATAAGTAAATCGCAAGAAAAAGGACTGCGGAGGGCGAAGATGGTTCGCTTTGTACACAGCCTTCTGCCCATCTCTTGGCCTCGCCTTGGAGGCAAATACCGCTGTAAGTATCAGTCAGTTCACCAGCACAGGATCATAGCACCGAGCCTCGCAAACCACAAGAACTAGCGTACACATGCGGGCTGATTCGTGCGTGTCTGCTAGAATCAGAGACCAGATAAACACGTCGCCCACGACATAGTCTCGTGGCAGTAGGGTCAGTCAGAGCTCACGGGCGGCCACGGGCAACGCCGCCGCCGCCGTCATCTTTGGGTCCGCCTTCGGCCCCTCCAACTCGAAACGCACGGCCGGAGAAGAGAGAGTAGAGTCGAAGCTAGAAAGTGGACTTCATCCACGCTATCTGCATCCGCGGACGGGTGTTGGAGTGGGAGGCCTGTCGGAACTTTGGCCGCTTCTCGCTCCCAAAGGTTCCGTCTAACGGCTTATCCTAGCATTGATGAGCCTTGCCTGACATGTCTGGCAAGGGCCTTCCAGATGGGGGAACTTGCGATAGTGCGAAAGTTGAGAACTGGGAGATGCTGAGGGGGCAGCGCGGGTTGATCAGGTCAGGAGGGTGCTCAACAAGCGGGGTGCAAGATTGCGATGGTCCTTCTTGGAGGACATCGTCCGCTTCTCAATGCAGGGGGGGAGGGGGGGCAGGGCAGTGGTGTTGTGCGTTGCGTGTGACTGACGCGCGCGGCCGAGGTATAGATGGACTTGTGGAATGCCATCTTGTGATACTGATGAGGCACGAGATGAAGGCAGTGTACAAGTAAGCCAAGATTAGGGTGATGTTGATTCTGTGGAAGAAGTCCTCCATGTTTCCACGTTGGGTCGTGATATCGGTTCAGGTTGCAGGGATTCGGCAAAACCGCCAGAGAGATGATGAATTGGGTGGGTGAACGGGCAACTGAATCATCAGGTGATGCGTCATTGACGGTCAGGCCCGAAACAGCTCTGGAGCTCTGGTCGAGAAAGAAGACAGGAGGGGTTAGGGTTCTCTAAGCCCAACCTGCCCAGCAGCCAGGCCTGCTTATCTGCAGCTTCCCCTCAAATCATTCCAACCATTCACCTGACCATATAAGCCCTCGGTTGGAAGCAGGTAGTCAACCAAACAAGAACCAGAAAATGGTCACGTAGCGGAGTGGTTACCGCGATGCTCTTGTGAGTTACCTCGACCCCGTTTGTCACCAAAGTGTTTGTCGCATACTAACACACGCAATTAGATACCTCCAAGTTATTGGAAGTTATGCATAGGTCCTGGGTTCGACCCCCAGCGCGACCACAGGTCTAATTTTTTTGCTACTTTTTCCCCCTTTTTTCGCGCTGATTCCATCTCTTTCTTTTTCATCGTCGTTATGCATCCCAACAACCCAAGACTCACTCGTATCGAGATAGCGGCACGCACACACACGATTGAGCTCCTCCTCTGGAGTGGACCGACAGCTCCCGCTCCTTATCGTTCGACGTAACCCGCCTTTTTGTCTTATCGCTTCGCTTGGATGGTGTTACTGCCAAGGGTATCCCGGCTGTAGCTTCGTGCTCCCCATCTCCATGTCCATGGCGGAGGAGTTGCAACAACTGTTTGTCATCTCTCGACACTCTCACGATGTTTGCGATGGGTGTTTACCGTCATATTTGTCTTCAATCACTTCGGAATCAAATGCCTGTCAGAAGTAAGCTTGAAATTCATTCGTATGTTCATTTCGCTTGTATGGAGAGCCTAATGCCTGGCGTTTACTGGGTGAGTGGGCGGGATCTGGAAGCCCCAACTCTCCTCTCCCAGCTATGAGTCCTATCTCTGAGCCGCTTCTTGATTCATGCTCTATTACACACATCTAGCCTCCCGGTTCCAACACAACGAAACCAAAACTCCCCATTCTGCTATTCGCTTGATGCGCTTAGTTGTACTGGGCATAGGCCGCAGTAGAGTTGAACTTGAGATTGCCCTTGATGACCTTGTCCACCGCACTCAAGAAATCCTTCTCCGACGCTACCTTCCTGCGCGCACGAATAGCGAACATGCCCGCCTCCGTGCAAACACTGCGCAACTCAGCACCCGTCGCGTTCGGGCACAGGCGAGAAATGAGCTCCCATCGGATATCGCGCTCGACCGACATGCTCTTGGCATGGATACGGAGAATGTTGGCACGGCCCTCGAGATCGGGAAGAGAGAACTCGATCTTGCGGTCGATACGTCCGGGACGCATCAGGGCGGGATCCAACGTGGAAGGACGGTTAGTAGCGAACATAACCTTGATGTTGCCACGGGCATCAAAACCATCCAGCTGCGTAATAAGCTCCAACATGGTACGCTGTACTTCGTTGTCACCACCCGCTCCGTCGTCGAAACGGGCTCCACCAATAGCATCGATTTCGTCGAAGAAGATGATGCAGGCCTTCTTGGTGCGGGCCATCTCGAAAAGCTCGCGGACCATACGGGCACCCTCACCGACGTACTTCTGAACCAGCTCGGAACCAATGACACGGATAAAAGTGGCGTCTGTCCTGTTGGCGACGGCACGAGCGCAAAGCGTCTTACCGGTACCGGGAGGACCGTATAGCAAGGCGCCCTTCGGGGGGTCGATACCGAGGGTAACGAACCTCTCTGGCGACAAGAGGGGCATCTCGACGACTTCGCGTAGCTTCTCGACCTGCTCCTTGCAACCACCGACATCGCCGTATGTGACGTCAGGCTTCTCCTCGACCGTCATCATGGTAACGCTCGCATCGATCTTGGGCGGCAGCGGAAGAAGAATCTGATACTTGTTTCTGTCGACGCCAACGCGCATTCCTTCCTCGATATCTGTCGGGCTGACTCGCTCTCCAAGCTGGACAACAAACTTGGCGATCTGCTTAACGTTGATGACGTACTTGCTCTTAGACTCGTCCTTCTCGTCGGGGATGATCTTGGTGCATCGCGCTACCTGAAGCGGCTGCTCCTCTGACATACGTTGACGGTCGGCTGCCACATCCCAGAGATGAGGGGGCGCAAGGCCGGTATCTGATTCCTGTAGACCGAAAGTACCCCGGGTCAGTTGGATGCGCTTCGCGGTTTGTAGGCTAGGCAAGGAAATGACTAGCATACCTTGACGCCAATCTTCTCGTCCACACTCTGCTGCTTCTCCTTTATTTGCTGTTCTAGCTTTTTGATGGCAGCACCGTAGGGAGCGGCGCCGTATGTCTTGAGGACCTGGATATCCCTTGACGGGGGTTAGATGACTTCGTTCGTTGTGGTGGCGGGCTGTTTTTGGACGGCAACATACTCGTCTGAGAGGGGAGTGATCTTCTTCTCCTCGACTTCATCGTCGGCAAATGTTTTCCTGTACTTCTCCCAGTTTTGGCCTGTGGCAGAAGGCTACTCCAGGTGTCAGATGTGTATAAAGTGGCGACAGCTTCTGGTAGGGCGACTGCAAGCATACCATGATGACGACGGGTGGGAATGACGCTTCCCGTTGGACTAAGGCGAGGAAGGGTGGATAATCGAAGGGTCGGGGGTCGATAAATAAAGTCGCGATGGCGCCCGTCGAGCGTTTGTTTGTGTGGTGTCGGATCGTTCGTGGGTAGAGATCTCGACGCGGGTTTGATGTGGTGTGTCGGGTTGGTGGTTTGATGGTGTTCAGTGCTTGAAGGCCCAGTGATGGAGATGGTTCGTCAAGGTCCAGTAAGGTTGGATGGAGGCTACGACTGCCACTGCAGTGACAGAGGGTCGAAGCTCAACTGTTGCCGTAATCCATGCGCTGCCTTGCGGGCGAGGGAGCTACGGGTGGGTGCCACATGCACAGTACCTAACTCAATGCGGTTAGACCGTGTAGGTTACAGCGCCGCAGGTACACAGGTACCTTTTCCACCGCCCACCGCTCAGCAGCAGCCGACAAAAAATTACCACCTGCCAGCCCACCTTTGCGCCCGCGCCAGCGCTTTACGGTCCCGCAGTGGAAACATTGGTACGGACGGTGTGTGTTTTTGGCCCATTGATTCCAGACCAGCAAAGAAGGAGAAGAGGAGAGCTCTGCCTAACAACACAACACCCAAGCGCAAGCCGATTCCAAACTGTCAAAGTCGATAATTTCCGGCAGTTTCTGAACCCATCCGACCTCTCCTATCTCCCATAATCCCAAGTACCAGATCACAGCTTGCAACCATGGCGACCGCACCGGTAGCTACTCACACGACGAGCAATGCGACTTTCAGGGTGCGTGTCCCGCTTTTTGGAACCTGACCCCTCGATAGGAGTCGGTGCGAAAGCTCCAGCCAGGAGAGATGAAGCTGTGACAAGCCCAGAGTTGCTGATACCCCACGACGTGAACAGGACAAGGAGAAGCCCATCGCCGTTCGTTCGTCCAACATTGTCGCCGCCAGAGGTATGCCTACATTTTACAAGTAATGTTGTTAGTGGCGCTAACACGGACATCCCACCAGCCGTCGCCGATGCCGTCAGGACGTCGCTGGGACCGCGGGGTATGGACAAGATGATCAGGAGTGGAAAGGGGGAGACCATCATCACCAACGACGGCAGCACAATGTTGAAAAGCATGTCGGTCATGCACCCTACAGCCAAGATGCTCGTCCAGCTGTCGCACGCCCAAGATGTTGAGGCCGGTGATGGCACAACCTCCGTCGTCGTCCTTTGCGGTAGCTTGCTTGGTGCCGCCGACAGGCTGCTAGGCAAGGGCATCCACCCCTCAGTCATCTCCGAGTCCTTCCAAAGAGCCGCCGCCGCTGCGGTAGACGTCCTCCACGACATGTCGCAACCCATCGCCCTCACAGATACCTCCTCCCTCCTCCAGGCCGCCAACACTTCGCTCTCCTCCAAGATCGTGTCACAATACTCGAACCTCCTCGGCCCCATGGCCGTCAACGCCGTCACCAAGACGATAGATCTCAAGACTGCCGAGAACGTCGACCTCAAGAACATTCGCATAGTCAAGAAGGTCGGCGGTACGATTGAGGATTCCGAGCTGGTTGATGGTCTCGTCCTTACACAGCCTGTCATCAAGAGCGCTGGTGGCCCCGTCAGGATGGAGAAGGCCAGGATCGGTCTCATTCAGTTCCAGCTCAGCCCTCCCAAGCCCGATGTGCGTATACCTTTTCAACTACTACATACCTTCCTTGGCTTCGTTACCATCTGAACCTATACTCCTATCCGTCACATTACTAACAACCTTTTTTACAGATGGAAAACACCATCTCCGTAAACGACTACCGCCAGATGGACAAGATCGTCAAGGAAGAGCGCACCTACCTCCTCAACATGGTCAAGAAGATCAAGAAAGCCAAGTGTAACGTTCTCTTCATCCAGAAATCCATCCTCCGCGACGCCGTCAACGACCTGTCCCTGCACTTCCTCCAGCGCCTCGGCATCCTCGCCGTCAAGGACATTGAGCGCGATGAGGTCGAGTTCATTTGCAAGTCGACCGGCTGCAAGCCCATCGCCGACATCGACTCCTTCACCGAGGACAAGCTCGGCAGCGCCGACCTGGTCGAGGAAGTCAACTCCTCCGGCTCCCGCATGGTCAAGGTAACCGGCACCAAGTCCGCTGGCAAGACCGTCTCTGTCGTCGTCCGCGGCGCCAACAGCCTCATCCTCGACGAGGCCGAGCGCTCCCTGCACGACGCCCTCTGCGTCGTCCGCTGCCTGGTCAAGAAGAAGGCGCTTATCGCCGGTGGCGGTGCCGCCGAGATCGAGATCGCCTCGCAGCTGTCCAAGCAGGCGCGCGCCCTAAGCGGCACCGAGGCCATCTGCTGGAAGGCGTTTGCGGACGCCATGGAGGTGATCCCCACAACTCTGGCGGAGAACGCCGGTCTGAACAGCATCAAGGTGGTGACGGACCTGCGCCACAGGCACGAGAACGGCGAGAAGAATGCCGGCGTCAGCATCAAGAGCGGCGGTGTCAACCCGAATATCGCCAAGGAGAACGTTCTTCAGCCCCTGTTGGTCAGCACGAGCGCGATCCAGCTGGCGGCCGAGACGGTGAAGATGATTCTCAGGATTGACGATATTGCTCTTAGCAGGTAGATGTTCACTACTAAGGGTATGGGAAGATAAAAAGAAACGAAATGAAAGATGATATAGAAATACTGTATGTGTAACATGTACATATTGTAATTAATGGTTCTGGATGAACAGTTTGTTGCAGCACTTCGTGAGGCGTGACTGGTGATCTGACCCTATAATGAGGTACCATACCATGTCTGAGAATAAGGGGCTCGGTTGGTCTTGGAGCTCATATCATGCCAACAACTACTTACTATCAGAAACTCACCTACATACCCCTTACAGATCTCTATTTTCACCTTCATTCATCAACCAAGTTCACACGATATGTGTATGGCTCGCGGACAGTTCACAGTCGTAGTATTCGGTAGTAGTAGTACTGTCTATGTATAACCCTCACTATCACCTAAGATAGCTAAGAGCTGAGAGATATAATAAATACAAGTCTAGACCTAACGATGTGAGTAGGTCTAGTCGGTCTCCTACTGGTTATTGGAAGTCAGTACCCAAGGTTGTTAAATTCAAAGCTTTCCCTGCATTGTCTACTTACATACGAACTTCTTACACAGTACCTACTAGGCTAGCTAAGTCAACAGTATAGAGAGAGAGGAGAGATAACCTAGTTAAAATGAAGTGAACAGTGGAGGTGTGCATAAAAAGTGGGAGTGAGAGAGTCAAGGGGAAGTGAGGAGGAAGAGAAGTGAATAGAGGTTAGAAGAGAAGAGTGAAGAGGGATTAGAAGAGCGGCTGAAATCTAGATGAAGGACACTATTATAATATGTGTATTCTGCCTGGTTCAGTTGTTCATAGTGCATCTAAATCTTCAGGGAATGCCTCTGCGTTTTCATTTGTGTACTTTTCGCAATGGCTAATTTACTCCTATGCTACCGCCTTCCTCATCGTGTTTCCAGGCTCGAACATCCATGGACCATCAATCTTCCTATACAGACAGACCCGTATGTATGTATGCCATCAAGTTCCTTCAACGCCGTACCATGCATACTAGTGTACGTGTCTTTCGTCCAACGCTCATATATCAGTTGACCCTTCTTCCACCATGGTCCTCAACCTAACTGGCCCTAGGCCCTGTCCTGGGCTGGTAAGGTCTTTGGGTTGAATCCATACGTGAGCTTCCCCAACCAGTCAGTTTCCCCTTCCCTGTAAAGGAGACTGTTCCATCAGGGTGACAGCTAGTAAGCACCACTGGATGCCTAAGTATGCATGTTCTTGTACTTCCAGTACCTGAGATTCCCGAAGCTCCTCCTTCATTTACCACCGTAGGTAGATCCAACCTGCAACTCGTTTGCCCATCGGTTGTCCTGTCTTCAGCTGGTCGTGATTAAGTATACCGGATCAGGTAGTAAGTCTTTCGTTAACATAAAAGACCGTAGCTCCTAAGGGGCAAACGCGTATTTCAGGCAGGCCTTCTTGTGGTGGTGAGGAAACGTTACGGACCGCAAGCATTGTGACCACTTCTCTGTCAGTGGCCGTCCATGCTTTGGTCAGCATTCGGCTTCCTCCATGCAAACCTCCACACTTCTTTGTGCCCTTCCTTCCGTACAAGCAATGCCGTGGTTGATAGCGCTCCTAGCAAACGATCGTCGTCCGTTGGCATAAAGGGGTATAAGCGTTATATAGCTTCCGGTTTCCGGCTCCTGTGTCAGTGGAGCCTGACCGGGAAAGATGTCCTCCAAGAGTCCTTCCTTCATCTTACAATAATCCTGGTAGTGAAAGAGATCATTTCGAAACAGCCATGGGATGGTAGGTTTCATCGCTCTCTTATCCCTCCAAACAATACCATTTCCTTCCTTTATTGCCGAGGCCCAACGATTTGACAGCGGTACCTCAGAAATAATACCGTCCGCCGTCTCCGTGGTCGAGCCGTAATCATGTTGAAATAGTCCTTGATCTAGACGCGGGAACTGTTTTTAACAGTCGTTGTAACCGTTTGTATAGATGTCGATATGTGTCTCGTGTCACCCCCCAAACGAAGGTAAACATCCGAAACACACCACATCCCCGTTATCCCCTCTTTCCTCGCAACACTTGCCGCATATTGTTTCTCGGTGGCCGTTGGCATGCCAACCAGTAGGTGTCGGTTTTGACCTATGGCTTTCCTTCTCATCCAAGTCCACCTCCGTCTCTGCGTCCGCGTCCAACATTGTGAACGAGTTCTCGGGGCTCGAGCTCACCAAAGGGATATCATCCACTTGCGCTTCTTGTTCTCCGGTTTGGTGATGTTGTCGTTGGTGATGGAAACTTGACGTCCATCCAGGACACTGCCTCATGCATACGTAACATGTGCGCTGGCCGCATCCTTGGCAGTCGGCGTACGAATCCAAGTCGGCTTTCTTGCTCGGTTTTCGGAAGCAGATATGACACCGGTCTAGACATTTGATCTTGGACAACAAAGCGTGTTGTTGTTTCTGGTGGTTGTGGTGATGATGGGAAGCGGAAGTCGGGGAGGTTGACTTGGCTCGCATGCTGTGATGGATGTCTTCTCGGTGGTGAACGTCATCGGAGACGGACATGCGCTGTTTCTTGTTGATGGCGATGGGTATTATCTTGCGCAGGGTAGGCGGGTAGGGCTGGAGCATGGTGGGATTCGCGTACGAGGACTTGTCGGCCAGGATGCCGCGCGTGGTGTCGAGGGCTGGGTGGGAGCTGGAGCAGAGGGACGGAAAATTAGTAAACTGGAGTGGTGGCGATAGGTAGTTTGACGTGTATTCCGCATACAATGGGATCTGGATGTTACCCGTGGTGTAGGAGTTCTCGTCATCGTCTCGCCTCCTCTTCTTGGCCGAGGGGAGCCTCTCGTGGGTGACGGAGGGCATCGGTCACTCCCGGTGTTCGGACACGGCTTGTTGACGTGAATAGTTCTTGTGATGGTTGGCAAAGCAGCTGAGAGCGTGTGTGATTCAAGGGCGAGACTTCAACTTAGTTCAAGATCACAGACAAGAGCGAACAGATTGCCGTGTCGAGTTCAGCCAGAAAGGAAGGAATGATGGAGAGAAAGAGAATCGGCTGGGTGCAGGCCGAAGCTCGAGGTTGTGAAAAGTGGAGGCGACTACGATGCGTTTCCAGCCCTGCGGTGCAAGTGCGTTGTCGAGGTTCGCGGTACCTGTGGAAACGCGCTACAGTACACAAACAGTATACAAGGTTTAGGCCACTGTTGGTGCCGTGTGGACGGAGTCGTCGCTCCAAGCCAGCGTCTTTCCATTAAGCAGAACGGAAACGAAACACCAATTGTACACTAGCGCTATCATGGGTTGTAAGTGGAATTTCAACGGCCTTGAATATGGCAGCGAATTCACTGTTTTTCCGACAAAGATGTTCACCGGAGAAGACGTAGCAGGAACGAACATAAGCTGGTGGCAGCTCTCGGTCGGTCCTGATATCCAATGCCCAGAGACCTTCTGGGTCCAACACGGCAAACCATGGTTTCCAATTTCTTGACCGATTGGCGCGGTCGAAAGGCGTGTCGCCGCGCGCTGAGTAACGATATCGCCAACACAGCCGGAGTCAAAGGAGCGGCCCCTTGGCACCCTTGGCCCTCTTTAAGAGCCAGGATGATCGCCAAGACGCTCTTGGCTTCTACATAGAGTGACTTCGCTTTCAACGGCTCCCTTTTCCGGTCGGGAATTCCAGTGCGATGTCATTGTCCAAGACATGATCGAGATGTCGCAATGCGAAAGACGGAGCGAAGAAAGCAGGCATCACGAGTCGGAGTTACCAGTCGATGTTCGATTTCGTGATATGAGTAACTGAGCAATAGTGGACAACATCGAGGGTGACTGAGCAGTTTCCCAGCAAACGGCATTCCGAATGCGATGCCCTGACAAGGGTGAGCGTGGCTGCTGCGGAGAGACAGACTCCAGAGGGCTCGTCGGGTGGCTTCCGGCCTTCTCCATACCAAGACGCCCCAGTACAGAAAAAGGGGCTAGGGGAAAAAGTAAACAAACCTTATTTTGAGCAGTCGGTCTTGACTTGTGCTTGTCCTTTTTGGGTCATGATCAAGTCGCAAAAAGACGATAGAGTTACTCCGGAGGTTACAGTGCTTGTGTAATTACCCTAGACCGAGGGCTTCATTGCCAACCGCGGGTAGGGTGTGTGGTGACAGAATGGCGAGGCATGATGGCGGGGGGGAAATGGAGATGCAGTCATGTCCATCACAACAACCTTGCAAGAGGTTGGTCACTTGAATATCTGGTCCAGGGATAACTGCACATCGTTGTTTCATGGCCCCGTCCGATTTATCTTATCGCACTTTAGCGGGAGTCCGATAGCTGCTAATACCGATAATCCCGTCGTCGGAAAGCGATCGGGAATCGGGACGGATATCCAGTTTGTGCCATTCAATTGTCGGTATCGACTTGTCGGGATACCAAAATGGGATGTGCAAATATTGGCAGAAATGAATAATGATGAGCCACGTTGCCTTCTCTGCGATATCTGTGAGAGTGTTTGCGTACACAAAGTAGGACAATAGGGTTACTATCAGGCCATTGTTTAAGGCCTGATATGTGTATTGGGATAAAAGATAAAAGATGCTTTCTCGGTGGGCCGTTGCTGCCAGGTTCCTGGGCGTGCTGTGTTTGGAAAGATTCGCGACGGGAATTGATCATTGCTCGTTTCGGTGTGCGTGCAGCGCAACTCACTGCACTCTGCAGTGACAAGTCGGGCGATGGTGCCAGCTGACCACGCTTTCCCACTGCCATCCGATTGCAGTGCAGTCGGTCAAAACCACAGTCCAGATTGCAGCCACTGAACCTGACGGGTGGCGTCACGTGGGCAAGCTAGGCAGAAAGAAGCAGCCCCACCCGCCTGGCCGCTTCCAACTCGAACTTTCTCCTCATCCCTCCCGCGTGAACCCGTCCAGTCTCGCATCAGCCTCACTTATCTCTTTCGCCATTTCCATTCTGCACTTGAACACCACCACCACCACCACCACTCCAGCTTCGTTGTCTGAAACGCCCCCCTTTGAACATTCTACCCATCACCAACAATTAGTCTCCCCGAGTCGAACCCTACCAAAATCGTCATCGAGATATGAGTCGCGCCAACAAACTTGGCCCTGAAGTGAATCGGTGAGTCCCTTTGCGGTCGCGCGCACCCTGCTGCCCGCTGGCGTCCTATCGCTCGCCTACCTGCCCGCCCGTGGCCTGTACACAACGCCTTGTCTATACCTACAGCCACTTGGTCCTTGCCATGCCCCTACATTCCCTATATACGGCCCTTCCATCAATTGCCCTCCTGTCCTACATCAACGTTGGACATCTACCATTGAGCATGACTAACTCATGGCATCTATACAACAGAGCTTTGTTCGTAAAGAATCTAAGGTACGCCATCATCTGCCTCGCTGTCGTCAAAGGTGATGGACAGTCATCGACTAACGTGTCTTGACAGCTACAACGTAACTCCAGAGGAGCTCTTCGACCTCTTCGGAAAGTACGGACCTATCCGGTATGGCATCCCGTCCCTGTCGATCATCATGTCGTCCTGCCACTGACCACGTCGGGCTACAGTCAAGTTCGCCAGGGCATTGCGAGCAACACAAAGGGCACAGCCTTCGTTGTCTATGAGGACGTAATGGATGCGAAGCAGGCGTGTGACAAGTTGAATGGTTACAACTTTCAGAACCGCTACCTTGTTGGTATGTGTTGTCGCTCGCCCTACATCGTCGCCGTCGTGTGGGTCCGCTGACCGTTATGCAGTACTATACCATCAGCCCGACAAGCTGAACAAGACAAAAGAGGACCTCGATGCTCGCAAGGAGAATCTAGAACGCATCAAGAGGCAACACGGTATCGATTGACAGTTAGACGGGCCTACGGACAGCCTCCGAATTCGACAACGATCGTCTGGAGGCCCGTCTTCTACGAATACTACCTCCTCCAAGACCAGGACGGCGCCGAGCACGACGGCTCCGAACACACCGGCTTCGAGTAGACCAGCACCCCCGGCTGCTTCGAGCAGATCATCGCCGCCGGGGCCGACCCGAAAGAAGGACAGGTCGCCGTTGACCTTCCACGCGCGGAGCACCATCCCTCACTTCGTGCGCCGGTTGCTTCCCACCGTGCCAGAGTGCGCCTAGACGACAAAACCCCTGTTATCGTAAATCGGATCCCCAGTGTACGAATGGCAACAGAAGAGTTTTACGAACGACGCGCAATATCTCGTACACGCGGCCGGATTCGGCTCTGGCTTGGCTAGGCTTTGTGTTGCCTTTGCCATACTCCACTCATCACGAAGCCTCTTACCGAAACATCATACATTATCGTTAAACTCGTTTTCTCACGGATCGACTTGTTATTTTTGCGCGGCTCTCTCAATGTTGTTGCGTTGGCATGGAGGAATCAAACGGGGTTATAGGTGTGATGCTTTGAAGGACTTTTTGCTTTTTATACTCTTTTACGTTGGGCTTGAGCTGAAAAGCCCCTGGGCGCGCGCAATGCTTTAATGGCCGCTTTGCTGCTGGCCTTCCTTTGCCCCCCGGTTGTCTTTATCCTTGGGAAGGATTGCATTATGACTTTCCAACTACTGAACTGGCATTGGGATGCGGGAACAACTGAATTGATGGCGACACAGAACCCTCATGGCGTCAGAAGCCGTGGGAGGAGATTGCGACGAGATAATTGCAAACTAGTCATTACCCAATGGTCACTGCCTTTTGGAGTGTCGACGTGGTCCCTTTGTTTGGTCAGGCGCTCGGTCAGAATTCACCTATTTCCTGCACCTCGAAGTTCGTCGTTTGTCCCTGAACCATGATAGCTTTTTCCGCGACACAGCCAACAACTCTCGGCACAATGATATCACATAGCCAAAAAGTAAAATGACGTCTGCTAGTCGGCTGAGTCTAAGTGACGCTGGTACATATGTAGCTAAAGCCTGGCATGCTCTCAGCCTTGCGGGCGGGCCGCTGTATATTTGACATGGGATGGCAGTTACGTGTACATGCATGAGCAGAGCATCTAAGCCACCTGCTTTCGCCACGGCCAGCATCACAGTGTGTCGGTGATATCAAATTGAACGATGAACATTTTGTGGTATCACTGCTCCATAAACATCCAACATGAAATTCACCCGTCAACACCGTATGAGTTGGCAACAATTTGGCACGCCACAGTTATATCAGCCAAGAGGCAGAGTCAATCTCTCATCCCACATCCTTCATTTGTGCTCGTATCACAACCACAACCATGCAACACTCGTCCATTTCAAATCCCAACTCCTTACTCAGCCTCATCCGAATCTGGAACCCCGAACGACGCCTAGACATATCAGGATTGCGACTGGCACGAGGCTGAAATGGGCGAAATGTCGTTAAAGTGTTTAGACGACGGTCGGGAAGCAAGATAGAGTGCCTAGCGGAGAGCGGAGCCGCTGTGCAATTAGGTTATGCCCGTGGTGGATCTTTGAAACCCTTCCTTCCCAGTGGAGCCTTTTAGGGCTTCAGGCAACTGAAGTTCCAGGGAAAAGGGACTCCACTGTAATGCTAAGGAGCAACGGATATGCGGGCGGCCAATGATAGGTCGGGGATGCGCCTGCTAACCTTAACAGAACAGAACAATGGCTCCGTTATGTAACTGGCCCTGGCCTATGACGGTACGGGACCTTGCTGGGCATCCTCGCCTCCGCCCCGGACTGTGTGCTGTAACTTGTAAAAGGGCAGGAACAGGCGGCTGGCTGGCCCCTCACTTGAGTATCGTTCTCTTGGAGATCTTGGTTTTCTTGGTTTGGTTGTTTCTAGCTTGTTGACTCAATTCAGTCGAAGCGAACCCAAGCCTTTGTCTTGTTGAGTGGCTGTGATACGCGACATTTGTTGTTGTCCTCTGAGTTCTCTGTCAACCTCTTTCCCGTTTTCCCGGTTTGGAAATACACAAGAGACTTCACATGCGATTTGGAATACGATAAAACCAAATATCAACTTGCTCGACTGGATTCTGAGCCCTCGACTGGATGCGACTGAATGCGCTTGGCGTCATCTTTTCTCCTATTCCATTCTCTAACTCGAACGTTTCAAACAAGTGGAAAGCGTTGCATTCAACAACCGAACGGCTGAAACTTGACAAGCCCACTTCTTGTCTTCGGACTTCGCACCCGATCGATAACACCAACATCAGCCAAACCAGATACCGACAGTACCGTGACCTACAACCACTTCTATCCACCACTTGTACAGAGTTGAACGAAATCATCATCATCGACACCACGAGACGAGTCTACACTGTAGCCGCGTGAACTGAACCATCTGACCTTTCCAGGTTGTACGACACACACCACACGTCACCGTGTTCGAGCGCCGGCCGCCCCTCTTCTGCCTGGAACATCTGGATTCTTACGACGCCTCCCAGGCGACCCTTCCTTACCCTGTTGGGAGAAACCTGTCTCGGAAATATCCAAGACCAACTTTATCTCCAACATACGCACACACACATACACTTCCACAAAAAGGGTGTAAGACTTACACTCCATCCAAATGTTTCCTCTACAACAACCACCGCCTCCAGGACCCTTAGCGCCCGGTCCCGGTCCCCTCGGCGCAACAACACCGCATTTGTCTTTTTCACAACATCGAGATGTTGATATCCGCGTCGACGGACCACCGGTTGTAGCTACTATCCCGCCATATCACCGGGTGCGCATCGGAACCGTTAGCGGTCTCCGTCGTCGTCTTGGTGGCGAGGCAGCTGCTGGTGCGGATATCCGTCCCGATTACTTTGTCGACCCACGAGTAGGCACCGAACTCCACGATACTGTCGACGCCGAAGACACTTTGGAACCACAACCATTCGAAAGCTTTCCTCACGTCGTCGACGTCGACCCGCCTGCCCTGGCCGGAACCGTTGTTTCAATCACGATGGCTCCCGCATCTCAACCAACGTCAACACCACAACCAACTTCTCCCACCTCGGCGTCTCCGATGTCTCAACAAACAGACAACAACACCGAATGCCGCCTTCTCGGCTCCTTCGCCATCCTCGTCCAAATCGCCCTCGGATGCTTGGCCATATCTTCCCTAGTTTACAAACGCTGGCGCGAACGACCACAGAGACCAGTGAAGATTTGGTTCTTTGACGTGTCGAAACAAGTATTTGGGAGCGTGTTGGTGCACGCCGCCAACGTGTTCATGTCGATGTTGACGAGCGGAAAGTTTGAGATTAAAGTGGTGGATCCGGTGGCCGCGGCAGTGGGTACGAAGATGGTGAGGAGAGCGTTGGAATACGGGATATTAAGTGCGAGGGGAGGTTCGGAAGACGAGTACACGCCTAATCCGTGCTCGTTTTATTTGTTGAATCTGGCTATTGATGTAAGTTTTCCCCATGTGTCCTCCTCTAACCGTTGTTGTTACTAACAGCGATGGGCAACAAAATAGACAACACTCGGCATCCCAATCCTCATCCTCCTAGTCCGCCTCATCTCCCGCGGCCTGACTTACACCCGCCTCGGCCAACCTCCCGAGTCCCTCCAATCCGGCAACTACACCCCGCTCGACTCACCACCGGGCACCAAGCCCCGCTGGGGCTGGTGGTTCAAGCAATCCATCATCTACTTCATCGGTCTTTTGGGGATGAAGTTTTTCGTTCTCATTATCTTCATGGTCTTCCCCTGGATTTCTCGCATCGGCGACTGGGCTCTCGGCTGGACCGAGGGCAACGAGCGTCTGCAGATTGCTTTCGTCATGATGATCTTCCCGCTCATAATGAACGCGCTGCAGTATTATATTATCGATTCTTATATCAAGAAGCAAGAGTCGATTCCGGAGGATGGGGCGGAGAGTGAGGGACTTGTGACCGGAAGGGGGGATGCGGAGGCTGCGAACCCCCAAGAGAGGGACGGGAGGGGAAGCGTTTACAGTGTTATCAGTGGGAGTGATGCTGGTAGCAGCTCGGGGGATGATAGTGATGATGAGGGGGAGTTGCCCAAGGATAAGGTTACCAAGGGTGGTAAGAGTGGTAGGACCGGTAAGGGGGTTAAAGGGGGTGTCAAGACTAAAGTGAGAGAGACCCCCGCAGGGGAGGAGGAATATGATCCTGCGGTGGATGGGGATACCCCGACTGTCATCGGGAGCAGCTCTAGTGCGGTGTCTGGTATAACGGGCGGGAGTATAAGAGAGGAAAGGCTTAAGGAGTCGGATTCGTTGATCTCTCATGACTGAGAGAGAAGGAGAGAGGACGGGTACCTATCCTTATTTTGTTGTTGTTTCCTACCACCGACCCCACTCTACCTTTTCCTCTTTCCTATCATCATGTTCATCGCATCACGAAAACGGCACGGCAGTTTAGCGAAGGAATCCCCCGTTGAAGATGGCTTCTTGGAGAACACATCTATCGTCCGTCATTTTTTTGGTTTCGGGCATTCTCAGTCAGTCATGTTTGTCATGTTTGTAACAGGAGAAGCAGGAGGAGGAGGAAAACAGCATCCATCAACCAGCATTATATATACACGTTCACTGGGAAGCATACCGGACAAGGCAGCATTAAGCGTTTTCTTTTACTGTGGTAGTGGTAGTATAAGTGAGGTAGCTAAAAGGAGAGAAAGTCCGTTGGTTAAATTCAGAGTTCGTCCTACGTCCGTGTCTTCACTCCAACTCCCCCTTTCATTATGCTCCCGCTCTTTGCTCTCTATCTCTTGTTAGTAACATGGCACCGACGGGATACTACGCTGCACTACCTAGGACCATGTTTATGTAAAAGAGGCAAGTAAGCCGAAGCTGGCAGTTTGGTCGTTTAAGTGGTTTTGTCTTGTATAGGTGGGATAGTACGAGCTAGAGGCAAGGGGGCAAGATGGTACCACAACTCTTTTCTGTCTTTTACTTTGTTTTACCATAACTTCACCATGTCTTTACTGTATCTTTGTTATCTCTTTACTCTCTCTTCGTTCCTCTTTCCGTTTTCTCTTTCCGTTCCTCTCTTTAATCTCTTTACTTTCTCTCTTCACTTTCTCTCTTCACTTTCTCTCTTCACTTTCTCTCTTCACTTTCTCTCTTCATTCCAATACTGTGGGCCAGACACACTCCAACTCGAATTGACCACCAACCCAACCTACTCCAAACCGTATTTCCAACCCTGCCGATGGTGTCAACACTGACCAAAGATACCACTAAACATTATTTATCTTACCCAACAGAAACACACAAAATTCCAACGACCGCGGTTAGTTACAACAGGCACTGATGAAATTGAGCTGTTGTCACACAAAGAAAAGCGAGCGAGCATCTTTGAGAATATATGAATGAAGGATGAGTTCTATACCATTAATATACGATACCCCCCAAATCTACCGCCGTACTCCTCATTATTACTTAATATAACATATCTACAAACAACAAACCCCGATCGTCATCATGACCGCGGTTGGTAGGTATATAAATGGAAGCCAGCAATATCTCCAGTAAACAAGCAAGCAACCCAGACAAGTGATATATGACATACGTGACAGAGATAAACAGATAGTAAGCTAAGGTACCTAAAGATTGATATGTAAAAGAGCAAAACTCGCTACCTAACCGGTTCCCCTCCCCTCCCTTCCTTTCCTTACTCCGCTTCCCCGTAAACGATATGGTATATCAGATAACATAGGTATAAAAAATGCAGCAAATAGGCAAGAGACCCATTGTAAGTGATTCGTTCCTCCTCTTCGTACCTTCCTTCTTTGTTCATCATCTTCTTCTCATCCCTGTTCTTCAGCCTCGTCAACTCCCTCTCATCCTCCTCTACAACTCCCTCTCATCATAACCCCTTCTCCCCCCCCCTTTCAAAGTTCTCACGCTCACCTCACCTCCCACCCCTCCCCTGAAATTGATGACCCCCAATAACCTGCCCGCCACTAACTCCCGCCCCAAACGGCAACTTGGGCACCGGCGGTACGTGACTCATCCTCTTATTCACCCTCAGCTCTTGCCCATGTCCACCACCACCAAACTTGGAATTAACGCTCTGCCTCACAATCATCGCCGCAGCCGCCGCCGCCGCCATCCTCTCCTTCTGCCGATGTCTCTCCTTGAGATAATTCGTCGCCTCAGGCCTCATCCTCAGGATCCTCAAAATCATATCATCTGACGGATCCGCCTGGGCTTCTTTGCGTTTTTCGAGCTTGGCTTGCCGCATTGTGCCGAGGTTTCGGGACATCATTATGGATTTTCCGCGACGGATGGTGCCTAGGGAGCCGAAGGCGCCGATTGCGGCTGCGCCTGTCATTCCCCCGGGAGGGGCGAGGGAGTTGGAGTTGTTGTGGGAGTTGTGGGAGTTATTGTTATTGTGAAGTTGAGGCGGGGCAGAAATGCGAGAGCCAGCGCCTGCGGCGGCGGAAGTAGATTGTGCTTGCTCGCGGGCGCGCTGGGCGTTGGCGGCTGCCATGCGCTCCGAGGTGCGGATGAGGTTCTCGGTGGAGTCAAAGTAGAAGAAATTGAGGGAGGCGAGCTCGTGCCACTTAGGCGACTTGAGCACGTCCGAGGGCACGCCGAGGACTTCGCCCGTGTGAGCGTCCTTGGCGTTGAAGAAGTTGAAGAGCAGCTCAAGCCAGCGGTAGACGACGTCCATCTCGGCTTGGGTGAGGGGTTTCTGGGTCGAGGGTTTGTCGGAAAGGGGAGGCACGAGGAGGTTCTCGATGGCCATGAGGACTTCTTTCCAGAGACGCGTCATGACAGCTACCATGGTTGCGTCGGTGAGGGTCTGTTTCATAATGGCGAAGTTTTCGTCGAAGTAGGTGAAGAGTGGTTGGAGAGTGTTTTCGACGTCTTGGGGAGTTACGGTTGGTGCGGTGGATTGGCGCTTTTTCCAGAGGTTGGCCATGGAGGCGGCGATGCCTCGGCTGAGGAGACTCTTAAGGGTGTCATGGGACAGGGAGTGGTTGATGTGAGAGGTGAGCTAAGAATGTTAGCATACAGTTCATCGCTCTAGGGAAGGCGGCGAGACATACCTTGTCAGTGATCTTGCGAACCATGTCACGCTCAGTCCTCTTCAAGTGCCTGAAGGCCTTGCCAAAGTGGAACTGGATATCATCACGCTCGCCCTCCATGCTCACACGAAGCAACAATCTTCCCTGGGTATCAAGATCAAGCCAGAACTCTCTGGGAAGATAGTCGCTGAAGTGCACGGGGTCAAGCTTCAACGAGGTACGCCCGACGAAATCATGGTCACCAAAGGTATCATAGTCCCAAATGGTGGCGATGATGTTGAGAGGACCCGATACGGTGATATCGATCGACTCGTCCCACCTCGGGTTGAGGTTCCTCATGATGATTCTCGTCTTGGCCAGACGCTTCTGGTACTCGTCACACAGAACCACGTACGGATCACTAAACCCACCGGGGTCGCATGCTTTCAACTCCTCGGCCTCTACGATCTTGATCGTGAACACATACTTGCCTGCTTTCCTAACCAGGGGCTTGATGCCTTCAACCCGGCGGATCGCCTCGGCGCAGCCGTCTACGTTCATGGTCTTTTCTAGCTTATCCAGCGCTTGCATGGCATATTCAATGTTGTTGAGTTTGACAAACGACTGACCCCGAAATTAGCCTACAGTCGCGGAAGAACTCACACATGTGTGGTACATACCTGTGGGTAAAACTGGAAAGGCTCGACCTTCTCCTTCGAGTTCCACGCATCCTTGGCGTACTGAAGGAACCGATCTTGCGCCGACCTGCCCGCAGCCGCCTCTTGGGGAGTTTGACGGTCCATCTCTTTGGCAAAATGTAGGTCCACAATCTCGCAATAACGACCAATGCCTGCTGCAAAGGCTTTGGCCAGTGAGGTCATGAATTTGGCATGGTGAAGCTCGTCATCCCAATCAAGCTGGTGGATCTGGTTCACGGTCTGGTTGAACAGCGTAAAAGTGTCGATGATGGAGACACTGTGGCGGTCCTCATCGGTGGGGATATCGTTGGGATCGTTGCTTCGAACCTGGAAAGTGTCCTGCTTGATAGCTTGCTCCACGAAGTCGGTCATTCTGGCTTCGGCATTTCTAATCCATCGCCAGACGAAGTCTTCGAGGAGGCCTTCGATATGAAAAGCGAAGGGCTTTCCAGGTAGAGACTCTGCGTGCATCTTTCTGATTTCAACGAGCTCCTTGTAGAGGTCGAAACCGTCCTGCACATCGATTTCGCCTTCCTCTCCACGGTTCTTGCTCATATCCAAAACGCGCTTGATGAACTCTTGAGCATCTTCCTCGAAGCTGGGGAAGATGGTTTCGACCAAGACCTTGAATGGGCTGGCACCCATAATTTCGGGGTTCTTGCGATATCGCTTCTTAATCTTCTCCGCAAGGCCGACAACAGCCGAACCGAGCTTAACTACATGAGCAAAGTTCCAGTCTTCCATGTCGGAAGGGATGTTGGCATCCAGGAAACCTCGGTAAACCTCGGCAGCTTTTTGACGCAGTCCGTTTTCAAGATGCTGGGTATACTCGGCCATTTCGTCTGGGCGTTCGGTGAATGTAGGGTCAGGTTGGACATGATTTGTAAGTACCGACATGACAACACCCACTGATGGTGGGCTAGGCTGGTAGCACTGAATCAACAGTGTGTAGAGCTCACGCAATAATGCATCATGGAGATCCTTTATGGCTTGCTGATAGCCTGCAAAATCCGTCATTGTCCATCGGCCTGGCTCAACGTCAAGAAGAGTGGCGCCAAAGAGGTTAATCGGGGGCGGCTTCTTTGGCTCTGGCTGAGGCTCCTTGACAAAATCGAGGCAAGCATCAAGCTGCATTGTTGAAATTTCCTGGTCGAGGTACTTTCGTACGGCAACCTCCACAAGCGTAACGTGGCGCATAAACTGGGGAATGCGCCATCTGATAGCCAACTCTGTCAAGAAATCAATGGACTCCTCCGAAAATGGGAACTCTTCAGAGTGCAGCTGGTCGTAAGACATGACATATTGGAGAATGGTCTTGTAAACCGGTCGTGGGTCCACTGGGATAAAGGTATAGCTCGGCTCGTCCACACTTCGAATGCTAGAGTTATCGTCAAGAGACATGGCACTGAAGCCAGACGACGGATCAAAGCCAAAGTTTCCCGAGCTACGGTTCGTAACCATCTTGCTCAGATCGGAGAACGCCTGATCCTCCGAGTAGAGCGACATGGGGCGTGATGGAAGGGGCTTATCGGGACCACCGCCGGTCTTGAGATCTGGACGGATACTAAGAATCTCAGCAAAGATCTGGGCCAGTTGCTGGGTCTCGATCCTCTTCCAGTCCTCAAATGCTTCATCGACGTCGAAGTCCAGTTTTCGCAGAGTGCCCGCCATGTTTGCCGACAATCTGAATTGGTAGTTTTTGAAGTCCTTTAGGGCCGCCTCCTCGGTCCAGGTGGTCATATTTTTGTCAATGTCGTTCTGAACCTGCGAGTTGGGCAGCCCAAAGATCTTGGCCACAAACAGAACCATGGGCATATCCTTAATCTCGTAACTCAGGGGCACTTCGACCTCCACAAACGTTGAGCTTTCTTGGCCCTTGTCCAAAGACAAATTCTGGTCGTTCGTCAGGAGCTTGTTCTCGAGTGTGTTCAAACGGGCCAGAAGGTCGTCGCGGTCGCTGCCAATATCTCTGATAACGCTGGAAATAAGCCGGACAAACATGGCCAGATGTCTGTCGACCAGTGACTTCCAGTGGTAGTCGTCGGGCGGCTTTCCAGCACTATGGAACTTGATCGCGGACGAGTAGAAGATCAGGACTAGCGGTTCGACTTTGCGGTCCTTGTCAATGGACTTTTGGAAGTCCCTCTGGGTGAAAGCGGTGTATGCCACGCCAAAGGTGCGCTTAACAGCGGCATCGTTGTATCCGGGCAGTCTCTCGGTACCCTGGAGAACGGCGGTCATGCGCTTCTCCAGCTGGCCACGGAAGCCATGCGGGAGCTTCATGGAAGACGAGGAGCCAGAGGGCACAAAGTCCTTCATGAGGTCGCTCATATTGGAGCTATGCCTAGTGTGGGTGGGCTTCGGGGCGGCGATGTATTCCTTCCGCTTTTTCCGTGGCTGCAAGAGGTAGTTGAGGAAGGCCACGCGGAGGGCAAACGAGTAGGCCTCATCGTAACTAACGGCGACCTGGCGAGGCTTGGAGGACTGAATGCGACTGTTGCGTCTTTCTTCGTCGCTGGTGACGCTGCGGACGCTCTGGATGCTGCCGACTCGGCGATTCGAGGCGTAGGAGTGCCGCGAAGACCCCGACATCGTGGGACAAGTGTGTTGGGTTGCGCTGGCGACTGTTGCGCTGGTGGTTGGTGGTGGCGGTCTGTCGAACGGTTCACGAAGGAGGAAGTCGTCGTGTCGTCAGTCGTCGGTGGTCTCGATTCAAGGGAGCCCCTTCATCGCTCGATCGACTTTTGGCTGGGCGCGTATTCGGTAGCTTGGAGATGCTGACGGACAGCGATGATGTCGATCGGGTGGGTTTTCCCCCCTTATTGATTCACACGGTCTGGGGGGTAGGCAAGAAGGAAGCAAGTACGGTAGGTAGACAAGACGAGAGGCTCGGTAGTTGGAAGACTGTGAGCGGTATGAGCCGACGGCAGTGGTGGTGTATCAGTGGTGCAAGGCGACGGACGGGAGTGGTCTCGTGAGTCGTTGGTCGGCGTCTAAATGCAAGATCAAAATGTTGTTCTGTTGGATAAGGGACCTCGACCCGAGGACGAGACCTGGAGAAGTTGGAGGAGTCGGCTCCTCTCCCTTATCGCAGGTGCACAGTGACGGCCCAGTGAGAAAGAATGAATGGAAGCCAGCCCATGTCAGTTTGTTAGTGCAGCGGTTCGTAGCTGACTGGCGGGAAGGAGTCTGATCCCTTCCTGCAATTTGCTCGGGTACCTTTACGTAGCGCTCTGGAGGGTCAAAACGTCATATATGCCCGTGCTCTCTTCCCTGCAATGACCCCTAGAAAGCTAAGAAAACATGGGAAACTGCCCCTGTTCTGCTATCAGGTTGTTTTGTTTTCTTTCTTTCTCTCTACCTACGGTAAGTTATGATGAGCTGTCCGACGGATGACGCCGAGATTTCTGTGCTTCTGTGCTTCTTTAGCTGCGGTTTTATTCGTAAAATCTGTTCTAGGCTTCCAGCATGATGCTTGCTGTGTTTCTTTCTGACAGAGCTGGAATCATTCCATTCTGCAACATCTCTAACAACAAACCGAGCGGCAGCAGTTCGCTATTCGACAAAGGGCGAGATTAACAAACACTCGGTCGGATATTCAAGCACAACAAAACTCCGGCAATTCCCAAATCTCACAGGGGCTTTGTGGCTGAGGCTCATTGTTCAGACTTAAAATAATCGACTTCCCCTTGTTTTTACCATGTCAAACACTTTGCTTATTTCATTCTCACAGGCTTCACGATGACAAAGAGTGGCTAAGCAGAACTGGAAGACAGGCAGTTGGGAGTCCACTTTGATGCATGCTAAGAGCCCCAGCAGGACCCCTTCTGATGATGGCATCTTCTAGCAGCTGTCCCGGTAACCTTGGCCCTACCACAGGCTGCAGTGTGCATGCAAGAAACTGTCTTCCCTGTCCTGCATATTCGATCTCCCCTCGACACGAGGCAACGGAACTCGGCGCTTCGTATCAATGGAAGAGAATCAAAACCGCGTGGGGTCCAGGTGGAAAAGAAAAAGTCTCGGTCATGGCACACGAAACACCTTTCCAGCTCGCTGGGTGTGGCAGAGTTGCTTATCAGCCATGCGAGAGCCATGATTGAGGCGTGTATCTATTTTCCTCTTTGTCTTGGTAATCATCCATTGTCTATATGTGGGTGACTGACCAAGATGGTGTCTAGAATTCTGGTAATATCGCTTTTGGGAATCTGGAGATGGAGCGTGACATCATCACCACCCACGTTCAAGACAGTATGGATGATCATGCTCCTCTGGCCCACTATGTGTGAAAGGTGTAAGAGTGAGAGTCCAAAGGGATATATAATACACTTTGTGAGAACCAACTGCCTCGAGTTGGAAGTTTGGAAGTTCAAAGTTTGGTCGCAAACTTGTCTGATCTGCGGCGGCTCATACCGAATGCGCCGCACACTTACAATCTCGTTTCCCCCGTTGGCTTCGGTTGGTTGTTGGAAGGACTTGCCACCGCCGGCCATCGATATTCCCATCTTGACCATATACGACCTTCTGAGACACTATGACTGGAGGGGCCGTTGGGAGGGCCGGAACAATGACTCCAGGTACGCCTAGACAGGGACGTGATGCTAAAGGGGCATGAGGACGCTGATGGGGGATGGGACTATCACGAGCTCCAAAGGAACACAAGGTCCTCTTTTTGTCTTTGCCAGATGACCCACCTACTCGGCGCTTGCGTGGTTCGGGGCGCACTACATTTCCAAGACTTGGCCATTCGCTAGGAAAGAGGACAGACATTGATAAATCAAAAGTGAAAGAAGGACAATCGCGGAAATCAAAGAGCCCTGAAGTTGTCCAGTCAAAGAACAAAAAGACACAAAAGAACCGTTGGATAACTCGGGCGTGTTGTACGACATCGACATCATCTCGGTACTTACACAGAACCGTATGGATTCATCAGCGCCCAGACTGTCTGGATTTGTCTTTCTCTTTTTCCAACTGCACCTTCAGTCGTTTTCCCCTTGACATTTGCTCCACTCTTTAGACTCGAAGCAATCGCAGAAAGGCTCTCAGCATCACAGCATCACAGCAATAACCCTTAATACGTTAGGGTTAACAGTGTATAGTTTCACGTCTGCTCTCTGCACGCATTCACCTGCCCCTGGCAGAAACAGCTCTTGGCCGTCAGGGTTGTTGGTCGATTTGGTTTGCCAAGCCCTCCAAAGTCTCCCCAAAGACTCGGTGACTTGCCCTGAATTTCATCATTCCAGTTGAACCCCGCCGTGTGCCGCAAGTGGAAGCGCATCAGACATCCCCAACCGCTGGAGAGCCGCCTGGCCGTTAACGTCCATTGTCCGATTAGATTGCTCTCATTGCATGCCCGGAGTTGAAGTGGCCCTCCACGGGCATCCAGACTCACATATCCACCACTGACCAGTTGGCCCTTTCCATTCAGCATTGTGTGCCCGTGTGTGTGCCTGTCTTGTAAGTTTGTCCCTGACTTGGATTACCGAGAAAGGAACAAAAGAAAGCCAAGGGACCACCTACCTGACCTAACCACCAAGGAGAGATCGACGACAACTTCCTCCATTGATTCCCCTCTGCCTCACTTTGCTGGGTCCCGTAACCGCGACCGTTGTTTCTCACACCTGGTACCTGGACCTTACCTCTACCGCTCGATCAACTCCTGTCCCTCTCCCGTCCACTGTGTCATATCCCGTCCGGGGCGTTGTTCCAGCGGGCAGCAACAGCATCCAATATCAACCACAGCAACTATTACCAAACAAAACCCACACAGTCTGGCTAGCGTGGTTTGGCAGTATCGGAGGAAGGACTAGCGCAGTCTGGAAAGTCCACCCGCCTGGGCCCGCCTGCACCACTGTCCATCCAGCATCCACCTCTCACTGCACTGCACCGCGCGCGAACCGACCTTCTGCGAGACTGCGAGAGAACGAACTCCAACAGCGAAGAGAGTGGACGACGTCGGTTCGGTTTATCTCCGCCAACTCCCATCGCGTCCACAGTCCCTCCCCAAATCTGGATGTTTTGCATTTTGCTGCCGCACTCTGCACTATCGCGCTGTCGAGATGGGTCAGGTCAGCAGCACGCCTGACGAGGGCACTCCCGTCTATCTTAGAGATCAGAATCGATGTATGTCTTGTTGTTGCAGCTTTCCCCTTCACCTCCTCTGATCATCATGAATTCCCGATGGAACACCACCACCAAAGACGGTCTGCGCCCACACGAACCTACAATTGCGACAACATACGAATACCAAACCCCTTTACTCTCGGCCGTGAGAATAGCGGCCCATCAGTCTCCCTGGATGTCCCGGCTGGCTGGCCTCGTGGCTTGTCCCGCTGTCCCGCCGTCCGACCCCTCGCCCCGGCCATGCTGACTGACACAAAGTCTCACGAGTCACCGAGATCGAACCCGAAGCATCGCACTGGATCTGGATCTGCCGTTTCTCCAGACTGTTGAATTAGCGCTGACCTGCCCGTCTTCCGTCTGACAGTATCCATCTCCTCACTCGTCATCTCTAGCCCGCGAAAGCGCACCTCGATCAACATTGTTCCCAATGCATTCCCAGCTACACGAGCATCAGTATCTCGCTCCATAGGCGAGAACACCCCGATAGAGTTTGTACAGGTGCGCATTGCCCTCTTCCAAGCGCGGGCTTCATAACTTCGACCCTTTTCCCAAGCTGACAGGAAGCCCCTCTCCAGGATACCGAATCCGCCGGACCTGGCTGCCCTCCGACCTTCTTACTCAAGCTCACAAACGACGACGAGCTCATATTCACCTTTACCTTCGTCGTACGCCAGACACATCAAGTGGTTCAGAACGCTGCCGGCGCCCTTGAGACACTCGGTCTAACCGATACACAAATCAATGGTCTTACCTTTGTCTACGGCTCCACTCCCCGCGAGGTTGAGAACCTCCTTACACGCGAGTTCGAGGCCGACCCCAATCTTCACAAGAACGCAAACGTTGAGCTGGTCGGTGTTTATGCGACAGACGGCAGCCCCTCGGTATCGTTCGAGTGGACTTGGAAATGGAAGCCGCCCAAGCCCACTGAAGACAAGGGCGGGGGCTGGAGGAATTTCTGCAGCGTTTGTGTTCCCTCACTGGTGCTGCTGTCTGGACATCTGCTGAAACTCTGTCTAGTTCGTCGAGTATGATCCTCGTGCGCACAAGCTGCATACCCTGGCTAGCTTTTCCTTCTTTGTGACGAGCGGTACGTGCCCTACCTCAAATCCCCTTTTATCCCCTTTTCGCCTACGAGATCTAACGAGTTTCAAGGCTACTCGGGATGGCTTAGTCAGCCTAGTTCACCATCGCCTCCCCTTCTCAGCGTCCCACCAAAAGGCAGAGCGGTCTCTGTACAGTCCTTGGGTCCTGGAATCGACAGCACATTGGAGCAGGATGAAATCTCCCTGACGTCTCCGAATTTGCCCATGATTGATCACGGCCCTAGCCTTCTCCCTCCCGGTCTTCAATCGCCTCAACCGCCGCAAACCGCTAGAGAGCCCATCAAGGTGGATGTGCCATGTCCGCGACCTGGCGAGGATGTTTCAGTGTCGGACGACGGGCCGGTCTTCCGCGCTACCATGAAGGCCCTGGAACAAAAGACGGGTAACATGAGAATGCAGATGAAGCGACTTATTAAGCGGGCTGAGCAAGTATACGCCGCGCAAACGGAAGCCAACGACGCCTTTTTGCAGTTCATGGATGCTTTGAAGGACGTTTCATCGACAAACGCCAACGCGGTCCAGCCGGCCATCGAGCATTACTTCGACAAGATTGCGCGGGAAATTTTGATGTTCGAGCGACAAAACACCCACAACCTCCAGAAGATCGTAATCGACCCCATGAATAAGCTTTACCAGATGGATATCAAGCAAGCTGAGGCCAAAAAGCGGGACTTTGAGGAGGAGAGCAAGGACTTTTACGCCTACGTCAGTCGTTACTTGGGTCAGCGACACGATTCTGTCAAGGCGAAACAGAGCGACTCGAAATACCAGACGAAGCGCAAGAATTTCGAGCTCAAGCGCTTCGACTATTCGTCCTTCATGCAGGATCTTTCTGGAGGCCGCAAAGAGCAGGAAATTCTTTCTCATCTCACAAAGTACGCTGACGCTCAGGCAAAGGCTTTCCTGACCACAGCCAAGAAGGTCGAGGGGCTTCTCCCACAGCTCGAGGCACTATCAACAGAAGTTCAAGAGGCGGACAAGACGTACCAGTATCAACGGCGGGAGAGGGAAGAAAAGAGACGGCTGTTAGAGAAGGGCAACCTTGCTTATGCCGAGCCAGAGCCTCCTTCTACTTCATCTGGGCCAAGCCCTTCAACTGGCCAAAACGGAACTGCGTCCTACGGAGAGTCCGATTTGGGTCGCGCTGACAGTACAGGATCACAGCTTCGGTCGGCCACCACACCAGGGATAGTACAACCATCACCGACCGATCTGTCCAGGTCGCCGGGGAGCCTTATTGGGCTCCCACCTCCCGTGGGCAGCCCGCAACAAAATGCCAAATTTCGGGGTATTCGGGATCTGGAAGAAAAAGATCCTAGCCAGATGGCGGCGGACAAGAACATGACACAAAGGAAGGAAGGGCTTTTGTGGGCTCTCAACCGACCAGGGGGACATGTTGACCCCCGAGCTCTCAACAAGCAAGGCTGGCACAAGTGAGTTGTCTGATTGAGATTTGTATGAACGGCTGAACTGACAATGCACAGGTTTTGGATTGTGCTTGACCAGGGCAAGCTTTCGGAATACAGTAATTGGAAGCAGAGACTAGACTTGCATATGGATCCGATCGATCTGCGCTTGGCCTCCGTACGAGAGGCTCGGAATGCAGAGCGTCGATTCTGCTTTGAAGTTATCACACCACAGTTCAAACGCGTATATCAAGCAACATCTGAAGAAGATATGAATAGTTGGATCATGGCTATCAACAACGCATTACAGAGCGCGGTAGAAGGGCGCGGCCTGAAGGATATGAAGCCGCCACCATCATCTACAGGGCACTCGGATTTCGACAGGAGAGACATAGCATCAGTATTGACGGGCAAGAGCTCGTCCATTAACCACCATCATCACCATTTCCATGGCCACGGCAACCAGAACTTGAGCCCGATACCCTCTAGGAGGACGACTGTGGGTGCTCGCCCTAGCACAGCTCGTGCACCCAGCTTTGACGAGAGCCCGGATAGGCTTCTCCAGATGCTACGGGATAACGACCAAGGCAACTCGTGGTGTGCAGACTGTGGCTCCAGCAACAAGGTCGAATGGGTGTCACTCAACCTGGCGATTATTGTTTGCATCGAGTGCAGTGGCATCCACCGGTCTCTTGGCACACATATCAGCAAGGTCCGGTCACTCACTCTGGACACCACGTCGTTTACGCCGGACATTATTGAGCTTTTGATGCTGGTTGGAAATCGGGTTTCCAACATGGTATATGAGGCACGCCTGGATCCCCAACAGAAGCTGGTACCACAAGCCTCGCGCGAGCAACGACTTCGGTTCATTACCGCCAAGTATGTCGACCGCGCATTCGTCGAGCCAATATCCGCCACCTTGTCACGGTACCCAACGGCTGAAGAAACCCTCCTGGCAGCCATCAAGAAGAACGAGATCCAGCAGGTTCTCTACGCCCTAGCTCTCAGGGCCAACCCCAATATAACGGACAGGTCTAGGGGTACACACGCCGTATATTTGGCACTGGCCGCTGCTGACCCGGCTCCTCCCTCACCTAACCCTATGACGCCGTCTCCCTCCCCGGGTACTCCTGGATCCTCCACCGGCGGCCCCGATAAACAGGTTCCATTCCCCGTCGCCGAGCTGTTGATCCAGAACGGGGCCGAGATCCCCGTCGCACCACCAATGTTCCCCCTCAGTCACGCCGCCCAAACATACCTCGAAATCAAGCGTGGCCGTCGCGCCCTCGTCGAGTCTATTGGAACCACAGTGGTGACTGGCTACGGCTCTTCGTACGATGGCATTAGTGCGCTCCCTTCCGCTTCTGGTGGCGGGTCTTCTAGCGCTGCTAATCTCAGCGACAGCAGACTGCAAAGGGAGAAGGAATCGAGACTGCAGAAGCGGGTGAGTGCAGGTGGACGGTTGGCTAAGACGCCCATTCCGGAGCGGTAGAACGCGTTCAGTTTGGGATATAGCAGGATGGCGGTTCACGGAATCAAGGATACGTTCAGGTCATCAAGTGCGCGGGCAAGAAGCGTCAGTGTAAGTTAGAATAATACTGGGGTTGGAAGCCCGTCTTCGATGAGAGGAGAAAGGGGTAGTATGAGAAGGAAAATAAGTAATGGGTTGAATGGGTTGGGATGGGGATATGACGGGAGCGATAGCAGCGGGGCGGGGCGTAGTGAGGAGGATGGTAATAATGGGTCACAACAACTAGTATCAACACCAAAGCGAATTGGGAGCATGGGGAGTCTGGCTACTACTACTACGGCGGAAAGGAGTTTGGCGGCGGCGGGTACAGCTAGTGGCGACGGCCGCCATCCTGGGAGAAGCAATGGCGGCGGCTTGGAAGTGCAGCCGTTGTTGTTGGGATCATTGGATTTGACACTGAGGAACCTTGGAGTTGGACTTGGAGAAGGACTGGGAGGCGTGGGACTTGGGGGTATGTCATCAGCGGCAGCAGCAGCAGGTGGTGGTGGGAGATCAAGTCGGAGGGCGTCGATGCAGTATCAATCTTGGTGATACTTCGTCCGATGTCACTGTTGGTCTCAACCTGCTTGTCTCTGTCTCTCTCTGCCATCCGAGTTCCGCGGCCTGGCTAGGGTCCATTTTTGTTTAGTCAAGGAGACCAAGTTCACGAAGTATGGGATAAAGTTTTGGGTTAATGGCTGGCGATGCTTTGGCAGGCCTCTCTTGTTTTCTATTCTTCAATATGTATATGTCTATGTCTCTACTCTCCTGTCTGCATCCATCCATGCCATGTTTATTGGGCCTGGTCTGTTTTTGGTGAAATGGGAGTTCTTCTGTATGGTTTTCTTCTGTTTTGACTTTTGGGTATTGTCATCACTTGTCATCAATCACCAACATCAACAGTAACATGAGCAACGCTTTATTTGGGCATGATGGTTAATGTTTTGTGTTGAGAGATATTATGAAAATAAGGTTTTCCTCGTTTGTCAAGTTGTTCTCACTATACATCTAGTAAGTTACCCCCAAAGTCAACAGGCAGAAATTGGATACCATAATGCAAGCTCATCCCATCACTGGCTCTGTGATCATCTTCTCAGGGGCAACAACAACAAAAGCGCAGCAACTAGCAGGGACTTGGGGACTTTGCACAGTGGATCTGCTGCTGGCTGCTGCTGGTCAGCCCCTGCAGAAGCCAGAACGAAACGACCCCGCCCCGAAATATGTGGGGCTCGTCACACCCCCTCCACATTGTTTGAAGCTTGTCCTTGTCTTTGTCCTTGTGATCTTTGGAGCTCTGGACCAGCCGGACAGTCTTCAAAAGGTTCAGTTGACGTAGATGTTGAGTGTTGTGAACTTCGGTGTCCAGACATGGTGATAGAACAGTTAAAGAGAACAGTCGTATGTATAATCTGCCCCATCTGTAATGTACCGCATTGGTGGGGAGATTGGTGCAGGACTGCAGGTACGTGTACATCTCTTTCGTCCCTTCTCTTTGCCAAAATGCAACAAAGTGCAGGTGTAACCACTAACCAGGAACGTACCGACACGTTGACCGCCTCCCGTCCGTCGCGCGCGCCCCCGCTCTAATTTACCTTGTCCTCGTCCATTAACATTGCGACGAAACAACAATTGAGAAGTGATCTGATCTGACGGACTGAATTGCAACTTGTCATTCTTTTTCGTTGTCTTCTCGAGGCGTGCGTTTATATATATCACAAGACCTCCCCCGGAATTTTTCAGTTTCACGGTTTACTTGTCCTCTTTCTTTCGAGTCCTAGCTGTATCACAGAAGCAAGCCAAAGCATCATCATCACATCACAATGGCCGCCGCCGCTTACCCTCCCCTCGAAGAGCGCCCGCTCAAGAACACCATCTGCTTGTTCGATGTCGATGGCACCCTTACTCCTGCGCGACTGGTACGTTATCTTTGCTTTGCTGGAGCTGCTTCAGTGCTGCCCTGTTGCCCTTCCCTGCGATGGGAGAGCTGGTGATAGCTTCACCTAGCTCCCCTCCACCGACCACCTTCCTCTTATCCATCCAGAAGATCAATGAGCTAACACCCAACCCAATGCCTAGACCGTCGCCCCCGAAATGCTCTCCCTCCTCTCCGCCCTCCGCCAAAAATGTGCCATCGGCTTCGTCGGCGGCTCCGATCTCGTCAAGCAGCAAGAACAGCTCGGCTCCTCCTCGGTGGACGTCACCACCCTCTTCGACTTCTGCTTTGCCGAGAATGGCCTTACCGCCTACAAGCTCGGCCACCCGCTGCCCTCCAACAGCTTCATCAAGTATATCGGCGAGGACCAGTACAAGGAGCTGGTGCGCTTCATCCTGCACTACATTGCCGACCTGGACATCCCCATCAAGCGCGGCACGTTCATCGAGTACCGCAACGGCATGATCAATGTCAGCCCGATTGGTCGCAACGCGAGCACGGCGGAACGCAACGAGTTTGAGAGGTTCGATAAGGAGGCGGGTGTCAGGAAGGAGATGGTGGAGAAGTTGAGGGAGAGGTTTGGACATTTGGGTCTTACGTGAGTCTTCTTTCTTTCGCTGTTCCTGGTGATGTTGGTGATGTCCGCTGCACTCGGCCTTTTTCTTTTCTTTTCCTCGCTACGCTCGATTTTTCACTTTCATCTTCCCTTGGATGGAACTGTGGCTAACAAGAGATGAAAACAAAAACAGCTTCTCCATCGGCGGTCAAATCTCCTTCGACGTCTTCCCCACCGGCTGGGACAAGACCTACTGCCTGCAGCACCTCGAGAACGAGGCCAAGAAGCCCAACGGCGTCGAGTACACCACCATCCACTTCTTCGGCGACAAGACCTTTAAGGGCGGCAACGATTACGAGATTTATGAGGATCCTAGGACTATTGGTCACTCGGTTACCGGTCCCGAGGATACGGTGGCTGAGTTGAAGAAGCTTTTTGATCTTTAGACCGGCCAGGGTCAGAGGCTAGAGAGGCTGTGAAAGAGAAAGAGGGGTGGGGATATGATGATCATGATGAGGATGGGGAATCAAGTAAAAAGCAAAACCTATATAGGGATGAAGATAATTGGTAATGATGATTTGAAGACAATATCGGAGAGACCGGGAACGATATGACGGAGTGAACCTGATGTACTGTTTGTGGAAGCGTGATAACATCTTTCTGGGCTACTTAGCTAACTGCTTGTCACTAGGCATTGCAATCTCATACCTGCTGTTTCCAGAATTCCTTCAACTTCCCCCAACCCCTTTAGTTATATTTGACTCCAAGCTGACGGAACAGAAAGAAATACAACTAGCCGGAAACCACACACTCGTCCTACCAAACTCTCGAGAATCATCGATCAATCAATCCTGCCCGCCAAACTCTCCTCCCAACGCACCACCACCTACATACGTTCCAGTCCCTCTTCCTCCTCCCGTAGTCTCACTCTCACTCTTGGCACCCGCAAGCAACTCATCCGTAGCAGCCGTGATGGCAGACGGAGACAAATCAGACTCGCCACCAGCGTTTCCTCCACTGAACTGATGACCAACAGTCGAAGCTGCGTTGCCACCATCTGTCTGTCCCTAATATTCAGTTACATGATGGTAAAATGGGTGATGGGGGTCAGGATGACTTACCAAAGTGTTGCTGGAACCATACTCTCCGCCATCTCCAGCTCCTGTCCCTGATCCGAACCCAACTCCAGCGCCGGCTGTAGTGCCGAGATCTTTGAACGACGAAGACTTTCCACCGTAATCTTCTTTCTGGGACTGGCTAGTATCTTGGTCTTGGTCTTGATCTTGCCGGTAATTATCTTGATCCTGGCAAGCACACCCCTTGCCGCCGCCGCCGCCGCCGCCGCCGCCGCTGCCGCTGGAATCTGCATTTTGGCATTTGCATCGGCAAGATTCGCCAGAGTCTTTACTTGCTTTGCAACCTTTGCAAGTAGCGCAAGAGCCGGTGGTTGCGCAGCATTCTTCAGTTCCGTTCGTAGTGGAACAAGCACACACTACGCTGTTCTCCTTTCCTTGGTCCTTCACTGGGTTCTTGACGGTGGTAACGCCCTCTTCATGTCCACCTCCGTCACCAACACCACCACCACTCGTAACCTTATCGTCACCACCACTCGTAACCTTATCATCACCACCCAAGTCCTCGCCCTTCAAATTCACAGGCAATAATCCTCCACCACTCCCACCAGTACCCGAACCATGACCATGGCCAGGAATCAACCCACTCACCAGCCCACCCGCAAAGTCCTGGGCGTCGAATTTGCCTCCGCTCGATTTGTACGCGGAAGCAGCGCTCTTCGCCGCCTCTTGGATTTCTTGAGTGGCTTTGGATGAGTTACCTTGGCGGTAGTCGTCGTAGGCACGGGCGGCTTGGGAGGAGGCTTGGGTCCAGGATTTGTCGTCACGTTCTTTGGTCGAGGAGGACTGCTGATCTTGGCTGGAGTTGTGTTCCTCCTCGTGCTTGTCCTCGGGTTTGGGCTTCGAGGAGGAAGACTTGGAAGAGGTGAGTTCGGACAAGGTGTCTTTGAGGGAGGCCGTGAATGAGGACATTGTGAGGGTTAGATAGTTGTACGTTGGTTATTGTGAGATGAGCGTAGGTAGGTGGAAGGTGCAAGTAAGTATGTAGTCAATGTTGGATCATATATTATCAATGGAACTGGGAGGTGAGTTGAGTACATAGGTAGGAAGAGGTGGATATTCAAACCGGTGATGAACACTTCTTCTTCTTGTCTTATACATGTATATGTCTATCTTTGCTGGCAACCATTACGAAACACTCACACGAACGTCCATATCGTCATGCCTCGCTTGGGTTTCGGTGGAACGTGAAGGTACCTTAATCCTGTCTTGCGGTACCTGTTCACCAAGTTCCAATGAGTCCACTAGAGGCAGGCAAAGCTTTATCCAAAACTAGTACAACATGTCCACAACATAAGGACACGGTCAGCGGGCAACAGGCGCACTGAAAACAACAGCTGAGTTTGTTTGAGAACGTCATGTTTGTGCGGCCTCATCGAACTCATCATCGAGATGCACCTGCCTGCCTGTCTGCCTGCCTAGTCATCATGGGACATACACAACCTACCTATGAAAATAAGAAGTAAGAGATATATACTTCAGTTGAGGGGAAATTGTAACTGCGGTCGCGATGTCATTCACTCCATCAATATTAAAGAAGTGATGAGAGAGAGAACGGAAGAAAGAGAATCCTGGATAGTCACATATTACCGACAGAAAAGATGACTTCAGATCAAGAAGTTCTATTGCCGTTGCGTGCAAGTTCCATTTCCATAGGTACATTGAGTAGAAAGCTGCCAAAGCCATGCCTGGTCTAGTGTTAGTCAAGTACTTGTGTTAACAACGGGAACTATAAATCTACAAGTCCATATAGGTCCATAGTAAAGACGTCGGTTGTATGCTAGCAGTACTTTACCCCAATAGAGATGTCCTCAGTGATGCTTGCAGAAACCCGATATGTGTGCCACTCCGTAACCCATATTTAATATTCTCGACATAATGATGAAAGTGCCAAACCATACCAAACCGTACCATATCATACCTAATACCCGTATCATACGCTCACCCAGAGAAAAAACGACCCAAGAAAGCCACCCACCGACCCTTCCTCGCCACACTTCTCTTCTTTTGATCCAAACAGCCATCCCTCTAAACTGGGGTATCAACATCACACTTCCACCTGACTTCCACCTGACTTCCACCTGACACTCCGTATCTCAACACATAAGCTACTCACCCTTGACGTTCCTCCGGAGTTACCTCTAGTCCCCACCGCCCTCCTCAATAACAGCACTAGCATCCTTCTTGATATACAGCTCGGTCAACTCCTCGCTCTTCTCAATCACCAACCCGCGCTCGTTGGCCAAATGCAACAAGCAAATGAAGCAGTAACTGGTGGAGATGTCGTCCATGGCTTGTTTCGGATAGACTTTTTGCAGCGAGTTCATGACTTCTGTGAACTTTAACGGTTCTGCCGCTGCTGAGCCTTCCCCCTTCCCAGGCTCTACTGATGAGCCTGGCGGTTGCACGGATGCGGTTGTTAAGGGTGGTGATAAAAGAGAATCTTCGGGATTTGGTGTTGTCTGTTATGAGAGGGTTAGTGACTGGGCAGAAACATAAAGGGGGTAAAGGGGAATAAAAAGAAAAAAGGAAAAAGGAAAACCTCACCCCATCCAACAACTCCAACCCCATCCCCTTCCAAATCTCCTCCTTCAGCCTCCTGACATCCACCTTCTTCGCTCGTCTCGCATACTGCACATACTCGGGCCTGACTCTCCTGCTCTGCGTAACCAGCATCGTGCCAAACGCCAGATCGGCCGGGTTCGTAACCGTCAAACCATTAAACGCGCCCGTCATGCCCACGTCCATCGTCAGCCCCTGCGTCCCTTCCTTGGCCGCACCATCTTGTGTCCCACCGGGGCCAGGAGAGAAGTGATCCCTTGCGTCGGCAAAGACCTCCTCGTCTATGTCGTCGTCATCGTCGTCTCCACCGCTGGCAAACGGTAGACCGTCGTCTTGGAAGAAATTTGCGTCGTAGTCGCCCTGCGGTAGATGTTCGTCTTGTGACAGAGGCTGGTTGAGAGGAGCCTTTTGTTGCGCCCAGAAGGCTTCGTCCATGGCGCCCTCGGGGACTTGGTCTGGATTCTGGTTGTCGGCATTGGAACGGCCGAAGGCGCGCTGCGACTTACGGCCTAAGCGGGCCTTGGGCTTGAGGAAAAGGTTTAGCAGCTGCTTCGAGCTGAAGTGCTTGTCGTCCGGCAAAAGATTGCGCGACTTGGACTTCCAGTCCTTTTTGGGAAGGGAGATGGCGGAATTGGTTGTCGCCTGGTTATGCAGGATGTCATGAAGAGTACGGTCCATTTGAGAAAAGAAATCGATCTCGAATGCTTGCTTTTCCTTGCGCTGGCGTTGTTGTCCTTCGCCCGTTTGGGGTTTGTTGACGTCCTTGATCTTGCGGATACGCCAGTGCTCAGCGCTGCTCCAGTTCTTTTGCAGGGCTTGGTCGAAGTAGCTTAGGATGTCCTCGTGCAGCCGGTCAGTCTTTTGGGCATTGGTCATGTTAACCATGCCGAAATCACCCTTGTCTTGGTCGAGCATTTCGAGATCGCCATCCACTCCGTCTCCGTCGTCACCACCCTCGCCCTCGCCTAGATCTAGGCCGGCATCGAAGACACGCATCATCTGTGGCTCGATGGCGGCTTCGCGCGCCCAGGCTTCACCACCCTCACCGAAGGCTACGTCAACGTCTCCTCCCAGGTCGAATGCGCCCAACGCATCGTCATCGTCAAAGCCAAGCGGGTTCTCCTCGTCGATAATAAAGCCGGATTTGTTGCCGAGGCCAGGAGTCTTGGCTCTATCTTGCTCCTGGCGCCAGTCCTCCGGCGCTCTGAGGAAGGGAATGTCGAGGGATCCCGAGGGGTCGCCAAGGATGAAAGTCTTGAGTGATGGGCACACATCCATCTCGTCTAGTCGTCCAAGATCGGGGAAGAACCTAGCACCAAGACTGCCAATGTCGATCTCCACATCGTCCTCCTCCTCTTCTTGTTGTTGTTGGGTTCGGGTCTGGCTCATTTCGGGCTGGCCGTCGATTTCCATCGCATCCGCATCCATGGCGTCCGGGTCGGCATCTTGGTCGTTCTCCTCGTCGGTAGTCTTTTGATTGCGCGAATCGAGAGTGTCGTTGGCGTCGTCGCTGCTGTCAAACACAATGCGGCCTTGTGAATCTATCATCAGGTGGTTCAAGAGGAGACCCTTAGCGCCTCCCTCGTCGAAGTCTGCTGATGCTTTCTTGAAGAGCGGATCTACTGAGAATTCGAGTTCGAACTTTTTGTAGCTGTATTGATGCGAAGAGGGTGCGAGGGTGGCTTCGGAGGATCGTTGGGTCTGTAAATGTTAGTATCGTCCAACTCGTAGCAGAGAACCGGGCAACCAACCTTTCTTTTACGCTTCTTTATCACATTGCCGTTCTCGTCCACCTCCTCCTCTTCTTCGCCGTCATCACCGCCCTCTTCGCCCTCGCCCCTATCCTTCTTCTTGCTGTCGCGACTATCGGCCAAACCACTGAGCAGCTTTCCGGTTTCCGTGGCGACACTGTCGACTCTGCTGGTATAAATCTTGACACACCCATCCAACGTGCAACTGGCCTTTTGAAAGTTGACACCATCGCCCTCCTTGAGTAGGGACATATCATGGAAGTAGTCGATCAGGGCAAAGTTCCACGAGTTGGCGGCGTTGATCTTGTTGTCGGTGGCCATCTTCATCCACTCCTCAAAGTTGGCCAGAATGGGGACGCGCTTCATGGGGGTGACGACGGAGCCGCCCACGACCGGTCTGTCGTCATCGTCGAGGATGGAGAAGTTCTCCTTGCCGGAGATGCGGCGACGCGGGGTGCGCGGGCCGTTGGAGGTTGGGGTGTTGGCATTGTCGCCGTCGATTACGCTGCGGGCGGGGGTTGCGATTGCGGTCGCGGCGAGCTTGAGCTGGTTGATCTGGGCCTCATGGAGGGCTTTGCGTCCTCGCGATCGTTGTTCCTTTTCTTGGGCGTCATCGTTTAATGGGATTCTGGTTGAAACGGGCACTTTCGTCAGTTGAATGGGAAGAAAGGGCGACGCGACAAGATTCAAGAAGATTCAATTCGCAAATCGTAAAATCGCAATTCGAAGAAAAACATACTTGAGGCCAGGGGATTTGAGCGGGGATTGCACAGCAGCAGGGCCCCTGCTCATGCTCCGTCGCGGACCTGTGCTGAGGCGAGGCATCTTGTCGTCGGTGGTGATGAAGCGATCGCGAACAAGATGTGAACCTCGACGTCTTTTCCAAAGGCCAGGCCGCCGCTGTCTTGGAGTTTCAGTGGGTGTTTGTTTACTTTGACCCGCCCGTAACCACCAGTGCCAATGCTGGGTAGCGCGGACATGGACTGGACGGAACACGCCTGGCAGGATCCACGTCTCAGCGGGCTGGTGGCGGGTGGCGGCACGTGCTGAGGCCTAACAGCGGGGTGAAGAAGGGAGTCCCGTATGGGGGTGCTTGGCATTGGATGACTAAGTCACATTAACAGTTCGCTCAGGTACAGCGGTACATCTTGCGCAAGGGACATGCGACGGCCGTTGCCGATCATACAGAGTCCCCCCTCTTCAGCCCCTCATCACTTCTTTCCTTTTTGATGATTTTCCAAACTTTAAATGTTTCAATCCACAGCTCGAGATTGGCGATGGGTTATGGTTTGGGTTGAATTAGAGAATGGATGTGCCAAGAGAATATGCCTGGGAATTTGTGTTGATCCTACATCCTCAAGCTCCTCTTCTTTATGCGGTCTACACCTTGGATGCTGACCTGGCTTGTGTGGAGTTGGAAGTTTTGAAACTCCGATTGAGTCTAAACTTCCAGGTCACGATGGTTGGTGCAGAGAAGATGAAGTACTTGGACTACACCATAAGTGGCTATGGGTTACCTCTTGATTTCTTTGTGATCACTACAACGTATTTCATCCATCATCTCTATCTTGCCACATATTCGCAGCCTCTTCTAGTTCCCAGTCTAGATGGTTTTAGTTGTTGCTTGACAGGCCTCCTACGACTTTCACCAAGTTTTTGTTGGTCACCCGCGTGGAGCTTGCGTATGCTCTGTCTGTACTGTAGGCATCTGTATTCCAAACACTTCATCCGAGCAAAGAAGTGCGTCCGCGTCCGCGTCTCAATATCCAACCGGGTTGCACATCGGGCATGCAGACGCTATAACTTGGTATTATCTTTGCCTGAATAAATTAATTTTTTTTTTTTTTTTTTTTCTGCAGGCAACTTGTTGAAAGTCAGGAACAACATGTTGGCTCCTGCCCAACCAGGAAGGTTTCTTTCTAAGAATCCCCGCCTTTTTTCTTTGGCTTTACATAGTCTAGCTCCTCTTGTCCATTCAACTTCCTCCCAACCGACCTAATCACATCTTTCCTAACTCCGAATATTCTTCCTAAAAAAAGGTACCTTGCGCACATCATCCACAACATGTTGATATCCCAATGAATCAAGGCGGCTCGTCAACAAGGAACAAATCATAAAAGAAGGGGCGCATGGATACCTCTCCCTCGACGCACTACCATCAGTCCTAATAAGACCTTCTGGCCACCCGAAATCACCTTGGCAACTTTGCGACGATGATCTCATTCCGCCTACATAGTAACACAGATATCCCACCCACCCCAATCTGACTTTCTCCCGTCAACTACACGGCATACTACATACATACATACCACCTCTAGCCTTTTATCTTTTTGTTCTGCTGGCCAGATTTCTCTCTTTCTTGTGACGATCGTTTACATATCTTTTTTTGCGCTTGCGATTCTGATTGCGACTCTACGATAACCGCCATCCGATTACCCGACCCTGTCCATCATCATCTTGGCGACACTTGGTCAACACCACCAGCACATCACGGCACAAACAGTATCCCCCACGCGATGCCATGATAATAGATCCAGGATGTCGCTACTTCGTCAGAAACGGAGCCCCTTCAGCTCCCGACCGTTTATCGTGTCAACGCTCCTCATAACCTGTCTAGCAACCTATGCGCTCGTCCTCCGACCTTTCGCGACATCTCGGTTGTTGCGCCAACCCGAATATCCACAACAACAAGACGTTGCGCGAATCTTCGCAAGAGGTCACAAACACGAACCAACCGCCCCCGTCGATTGTCGCGATGTTCACTTGGCCCAAGACCAATGCGCCTTCATATTGGCCAACTGCGAAGACGAGGACGCCGGTCTCATACATTACCTGAGCTTCTACTACTGCACCCTACCCAATGCGAAACCCGTCGCCTTCGCCGTCCTCACCGCATGGCTGGGCCTCCTGTTCACAACGATCGGCATAGCCGCCAGCGACTTCTTCAGCATCAACCTCAGCACCATCTCGAGCGTCCTGGGTCTAAGCGAGAACCTTGCTGGTGTCACATTCCTCGCTCTGGGCAATGGCTCCCCGGATGTTTTTAGCACCTTTGCCGCCATGAGTTCCAACAGTGGAAGCATGGCGGTGGGTGAACTGATCGGTGCTGCTGGTTTTATCACTGCCGTGGTGGCCGGGTCCATGGCCTTGGTTTGCGAGTTCAAGGTCCAGAAACGAACATTCGTACGAGATATCGTTTACTTTATCATTGCCATCAGCTTTACCATGCTGTTCCTGTTGGATCAGGAACTGCATTTGTGGGAGGCCAACGCCATGGTTGGCTGCTATATCTGCTATGTCATCTTGGTGTTTGCGTGGCAGTGGTTTACAGACAGGAGGAGGAAGAGAAGACAACAAGAAGCTGCTGCTCGTACGCACTTCCATGGTTCTGCGCCTGGGGCATCAGAAGAGTTGGAACCATACCGGGATGAACCAGAAGACGATGAGGCAGCTTCTGTGAACACTCGGCCTCGGACTGCTCAGACGGACATCAGCGCTCTAGAACGGGGTCCTAGAATAGAAGTCGAAGGACAGGGAGTTGCATCTACACCAAGCGAGGAAGAAGAGGATGAGCACCGCGACCTGCATGTGGCTGCAGAGATGACCAGCAGCATGCGCGTCAACCGACCTCGCTGGGGCCGAAGCAACACCACCATCACTCCCATCAGACCCAGTCTTGTCGGTGCTTTGGAATTCCGGTCGATATTGTCGTCACTACAGAAGGAGAGGAACCTGCAGGGTGGCCACTTCCAACGTGGTCATCGTCGGGGAAATTCCGATTACTTCTCAAATCAGCCATCGCTTCCTTTGATTCCCGAGGATCAGCTATACCGGGGACGTCAATACACCCTCGACACACTGCCCACCCTCTCAACCATCGTGTCGGGTAGAGACCGCGCGTTGTCATCCGGACATTCACCCCTTAACCTGGACAATTCCGGCTTGCCAGTTGTTCAGAGCGGTTCAGAGACGGAGAATACAAGCCCGGCATTAGCAGTGTTAACACCAGGACCTCGTCCAAATGAGAGTCCCAACTTGCGTCCAGATACTAGAGGTAGCTCGACCACCCGAACTGTTGACGGCAGACTTGCGCCTCCTCTGGATACCGGAGGTGTCAACCAAGGATTGCTTCAGAATCAATGGAGGAAAACACCGAGGACACTCGGTCTACACCTCCAAATTCCAGAGAGTACCGGCTCTAGCAACCGTGCTTCGCCTACACTCTCACCTTTCCCCATGTTCTCCGAGTCACCCACCATGCTGACTCCCCAACAACTACCCGAATCGGCCTTTGTCTTTCCTACACCATCCGAGAGAAGACGCTCCTCCATCGCCATCTTCGGCGGCTATGAAGAAGAGGAGGAGCCCCTCAAGTATTGGCCTTACTCCATACTCCCACCACCGCACATCTTCTTCGGCACCCTCTTCCCTACCCTCCAAGGCTGGTCCGAGAAGTCATGGTGGGACAAACTCGTCAGCTTGATCTCGGCTCCCTCCGTCTTCGTCCTCGCCATCACTCTCCCCGTAGTCGAAACCGAGTCCGAGCACGACGACGATGACGACGTTGAAGGGCCCGCTGAGTCCCCTGCCACCCACCTGATCCACAATCACGGACAACCAGGACACATGGCCGTCCCCGTCTCTCTGGAGACAAGCGCACACATCCGTCCCGAGACCGAATGGCAGGAATTCCGCCGTCGCACACGCTCCGCTTCTAACCGGTCTCCCATGCGCTCACCCATGGCACGCTCACCCCTCCACTCTCCGCTGACGGCTTCGCCATCCTTCGTAACGCTCGCCTCCCCGCGGACGAGGCTCAACTCCGAAGCCAGAGCGCATACCAACGGGCAGACCAACCTCGGAGCACAAGTCCAACAAGCAATGAAACTTAATCCCCACCCGCGCCACGGCCACAGTCGCCAAGCTTCTCAACCGACTATCGTTGAAGAAGATGAACACGGCGGAGTCACCAATACCGACACGGGAGCCACTTTGACAGAAAACCACAACAACGACCCCAACGACGGTGACAATGAAGAAAAAGCCGCCGAAGAAGGCTGGTCCCGCTGGCTCATCTCGCTACAACTCTTCACCGGCCCCCTCTTCGTGGTGCTAATCCTCTGGGCAAACACAATGGACGAACTTCCATCTCCCGGGCACGCGCTGCTCCACATGATTTTATATTCATCAATCTTCTCCCTCACCTGTCTCGGCATCTTGTTGCTCACAACAAGCGCCGATAAGAAACCCAAGTACCACTTCTTGCTATGTTTCCTGGGGTTTGTGATTAGTATCGCGTGGATCTCGACGATAGCGAACGAAGTGGTGGGCATCTTGAAAGCATTTGGTGTGATACTGGGGATTAGCGAGGCTATTCTGGGGTTGACGATTTTTGCGGTGGGGAATAGTCTGGGGGATTTGGTGGCTGATGTTACTGTTGCGCGGTTGGGGTGGCCTGTTATGGCTTTGTAAGTTTTTTTTTTCCCTTCTCCTATCCCCTTCGTTCTATTTCCTTCCTTTCCCTTACTTTACCCTCTCTTACCCGTCTCCTTCTTGTGGCGTCCGCTGCGCTCGGCATCTTTTTTTCTTTCCTCGCTGCGCTCGCTTTCCCTCCCCCTCCCTCCTATTTGGCCCCCTCCGAATAACACATACTAATTCCCCTTCTCCAAAAACAGAGCAGCCTGCTTCGGCGGCCCCATGCTCAACATCCTCCTCGGCATCGGCTTGGGAGGGGCCTGGATGATTGTTTCCTCAGCCAACAAGCACCACGCCAAACACCCCGAGCTTCCCTTTAGATACAAGCCCTACAAGCTGCAAGTGGGCGGCACGCTGATGATATCCGCCATTACCGTGCTCGTGACGCTGGTGAGCTTGTTGATTCTGGTCCCCAGCAACGGGTGGGTGATGAATAAACGGATTGGGTGGACGTTGATTGGGATATGGACCGTGGGCACGGTGTTCAATCTGGTCGTGGAGACGACGGGGGTTTGGACTGATGTTCGTTAGTCCTAGTCTTATGTGGTTATGAGAGAATAGGGGGGAAAAGGGGAAAGAGGGGGAAGAGGGGGAACAGAGAACGGGTGGGATAGCGAGTATTGATCCTTCTTATGAATATGAATTTGATGAAATTACCTGCTTGGGCCTTGGGTTCGATGGGAGCTACTTATCTTCAGACCTCGTGCATCACGGCTATCAGGAACAGGTACTTTTAATAGATCATTGACGCCGGTGAAGAACGGACATCTGTCTGACTAAGATGCTCTTGTCCTGATGGTCCCCAATAATGAATGATATGCCTGCCGTTGGACTATTTGTTCGTTGAGATGAAAACAAACAAACAAACAGGCAAACAACCGATATCCCGCCAAAGAGACACTCGACGATCACATCAGACGCCAGACAAGGACTTCCAACGACGCCACGCAAGATAAATATATATATATATATCCCACCGTCATCCCTTAGCCCATTTCGCCTCAGTTTCCTTGTCCCCACACCTGTCACTCCAACGAACTATTTATTCTGGTAAATCAGTAAACAAGCAACAAGCAACGAGCAAAAGCCTAAACAGATGTGCCACGAAATCACAATCAAATACGCCCTCTGCTCCCACACCCAAACAATCCTCACCAACTGCGGCCAATCCTGCCAGGGATGGTCTGGCGAGTATCAGCGCGTCGAGGGAGTTTCTTGCCAGGCGCCTTGGTGTCCATCTAATTTTAGTTCTCCTCGTCGTTCAGGAGCATTTTCTTCAGTCAACGCGAATACATCTTGGGGGCTGACTAGATCTAGATGTGTGAGATGCGAGGATGGACCTAGAAAGGAGGGGAAATAGGCGAGGAACTTCCCTTGCGCAATCTACATGTATGGAGGCTGAGCTTGGAAGGGGCGGAGAAGGAGGAGAATTTAACAGTGGTTTAACGAGGCCGACGGAAGTGGAAGAACCTGAAAGGGGAGGGGGAGGACCTAGAAGGCCTGGAATTCCAGGGGCCGATGACTCGAGTTCTAGTTCGAGTGATGATGAAAACCACGGCTATGAGGACGTTAGGAGCTCAGGAGTAGATAGGAGAGCGTAGCGATACCTTCATTCCAATTCTCGGAAGAGAAAGGATAGCCTCACTCGAAGGTCAATGTCAAGGGAGGTCGCAGGAGGAGTGTACACAAAGTAGTAGAATTGGGAGTCAGTCAGACCATAGCGACGAAGAAGGGTACGAGTTGGTGAGCATGGAATGAGGAGGGAACGAAATCGATGTTCGCCGCACGAGAACGCAGCTGGAAGCTGATGGGATACAAATTCTTGATGTAGTGGTGATTGAGACAGAGAATGGAACTGGTTATGGCTCCTTCCCAACTTGGTAAATGGGAAAGAAAATTTCTTCATCGACGTACAGTTGCTTCTTCCATCAGTTTCGGCTTTCCTTCTGGCTTTGGCTCCTTCTGGCTTTGGCTCCGTGATCCATTCCTTGCTTTTTACACTATGGCACATTAGAATAGCATCCATCCACCGTTCTTTCCCACAGAAGGAACGTCCCCGTAGGGTTAGTTTTGAAAAGCCCTCGGTGTGTCTTTGATTGAGAGCGCAATGGAAGCATCATCCGATACTACGGTTGATGTCGCTTCCTGCTAGGTTGGTCGAAAATAGTACTAGTAGATAATAGGAGTCGTTTGATTCCAGAAGAAACTGATAAATCTGAAAAGAAAAAGTGGTTGAAGAAAAACTTTGTCTCTGATCACGGTATACAAACGAAGATATCTATTTCGCCTAGATTCATCAGGCTTTTACCATCTTCCTGAATTCGTCCTCACTCTCATTTTTTGATAGGAGCAGACTCGCCGTCTACAGCTTGACATGCATTGAGCACCAGTCTTTGTACTGCTTATCTCGATATGCCACCATGATAGTTACCTACCTGCCGTAGAGTGATATTCGGATCGTATTGCACTTCCCGTCATACAAGCACTTGAGAATGCTAGGGAAACCCGAGGAAGGAACGGACAACATCCATGATCCAAACCTTCCATTTCAGCCCAGCAACATCACACATCATGAAATCTGGGAAACTTTAACTCGGAAAACCTGCAACTAAAAATGATCGACGATCCTATCTCCGAGAATGACCTAAAATACTTCAATCGTTCGGATCGGGAGATCTACAACCATGACGCTCTCTCTCGAGACTCTCTCATGAAATTCCCATTCCTACCAGGTACACATGGATGGGAATAAGAGTAGTGTAGTGGGAATAAGAAACCAGATCATGACACCCACCTTACTTGGTTTACGCCGCAATCTTCCCAAGGCATCGGTAAAAAAAACCGAGGTAGTAGACTGGAGATCAAAAAGCACCTAGCGTAAACCCTCGAGATCAGCAAGGATGTCTATTCTAAGTAGTATCATCATATGATAGTGACGACAATGTTTCAATCCCCCCCTTTTTTTGTGGAATCCCCTTTCACGAATTCCCATCTTCGCATTCGCAGATTCGAGTTGGCGAATACGCCTTCCCCCCTTTTAGGTCAATATCCCACTCGTTCCTAATCCCACTTACACCCATTCGCTTATGTGAATCCTTCTCCCTTCTGCCCACACTATTCCGACGACCGACGACCGAGTACTGACGAACGAAAACTGACCGATCACTGACCGACGACCGAATACTTACCGATGGTTGACCGAGACGTTGAAAACTTGAGTACACTACACGGTAGACAGAAGGATTGAGACCTAGGAAGGAAAGCGAAACTGAGACGTTAGCCCGCCTACACGGATATATCCTCAACCAGTGTCAATGTTAAGCCTAGTAGGTACTCTGTAATCTGGAGTCTGTAGGTAGTGAAGGTCTCCATTCAAGCTCGCATACGTCCCATCTTCTTCATCCACAGGTCTCTGAAGCCCCTTTCTAGGTACCTCTAGGTAAACACCAACCTCCGTTGACCATTGACTACTGACCAGTATCCTCTTGCCGCGTCAGCTCTTGCTCAGTGGCCATGCTTGCTGTCGCAGAATAGAGCTCCTCTCCTCCATCCCTAGTCCCCAGTCCCCAGTCCCAGCCATGGATGATTCAGCTCCTCCGGCCCAACGGAAGGGAAACCTCCACGAGGGCAGCAAGGGAAGCAGATCTCGACCACGTCCAACCCATGTATACGGCTCTTTGCTTCGGCTCGGCTCTCACTTCTCATCCTTGGCCGCCTTGCTCTGATCTTGTTGACCCTTGCCCTGATCATTGATCTCCTCTTTGTTGTCCTTCTCCTCCTCCTCCATGGAAGCCAACAGTTGATCAAGGGTATCCTCCAGCCTAGTCAAACTAGCTTCGAGAGTCGTGGCTGTTTGTTCGCCTCTGTATTTGTGTGTGAAGCGGTGTTAGTTCGCAAGATCATCCTGATTTAGTAATTCCTCATAAGTGTTCGAGTCAGGTAGGGCAGGTTTGAAGTTTGGGGAGTAATGAAGCAACACGACACGACACCACACGACTCCGTGTAAGTTCCAGTAAGGTATGTTTCGTATGTGAACCAGTCAAGAACAAGACTCGGTAGATAGATCAAACGTCTCGTCCGGCCGTCTGCAGCTAGGACGTAGGAATAGGGAGTGACGTGAATGACATGGTATGGAGTGTAGTGTAGTGTGATGTGAATAGTGTCAAATGCATGGACAACGAAACAACCCAGCAGACAGTGGCAGACAACCAGGCAGCAGGCGATAGAGATGAATGCCGGCATATAGACCCCTGGGGAAATCGATCATACACATCACTCGGACTCGACTCCGGCTCATGGCATTGGGTTCTGTTCCCAACCATCACAAGGAGATATGTCTGACTATCGTCCGAGCGAAAGTGTGATCACGATGCTTGATATGCTGGAGGAGGCAAAAATGAGAAGCAAAAAAAGCTCGGTGTGGAGTTTGAGATGTTTGTTGTCCATGTCCATGTCCCATCATCCACCTTGAGGCTGTTAACCCCTGACCAGCTCATCCTAAAATCATGCCATTTTTCACCCCTCCCCTTCCGGCCCCCGAGATGGATCGGAGAGATGCCAGATGGAGATAAAGATGGGGTTTGAAAAGGTGACGATGGTGGCAAAACTTTTTTGCCCATGCCTGCCTGCCTGCGTGCCTGCCATGTAAAGCCAGCGCACATATCAAAGCTCAGCAACTTTTTGTCTTTAACCCTGTACGTCCCATATCCCATAGTTGTCCCGGTCCCGTGCCTAAGAGGAATAGCGGGCCGGAACAAAGTCCGAAAGCCATCGGGGAGATATCATAGGCTGTTAAGAGATCGCAGGGAGTGCCGAAGGCTTACACGGGGAAAGGGAGATCGAGCAAGCCTGAGCAAGAGAGACGGACGAAACAATGCTACACAGTGGCAGCCATGACCCCCGTGTCAAGCCATGGGCTGAGGCCGACATAATAGCGGCGGGATGTGAGGCAAGGATTGCTGCTGGATGTGCAGTTGTTGGGAAGGACAGATGAGATGGCACTCTGGGATATGGACCGGGGGCTTGGATGGGAAAGAAGAAAAAGGGGTGTATGGATGGTCGTGTACCTATACCGCGTGTAGGTACACGGACGTCGGAGGAGGTGGTGGTGGTACGGTACCGTGCGGATGGGCACTTCCGGTGCTGACCGGACCGGAATGGGGCCGGGGTAAAGACGACACAATATCGGAATCGGCGCCTGGCGAGTTCACGGCACGACTCCAAATTGATGCTCTCGAGAGATGAAATGAAACTCGCTCACACCTTCACATGGTACTGACCGGGTACGCCGTAGTTGGTACCAAGTTACCGCGAAAGATTTGTTTTCCTCAGGGTCCAGTGCTAGGTATAGGGTTCTAGGCCTTCAATGTCCCAATGCGCTTGCATGAACTTGTGTGATGTGGTTGTGACGGGTGGGGGAGGGCCTTCCGTTGCAACTCGGTCATTTAATCAGTGATGGTGAAATGTGCTTTTAGACACCGTACCTAATGTGGGTTTGAAAGGCCAACGGAGACACTTGCGGCCGCTCTTGA